AACACACAAACAAAATTCTGAATCGTTCAATTTTATATGACTTAAAACTTTCTCAAACTAATTAAACCAGTCAATAAATTAAAATGTCTGCCGGTACCCTATTATTTTATTAATAAATCATCATGGAAAAATATGAAGGAGAAAAACTAAAATTTCAAAAATGAATTAAAACAAATTTGAATACTTTACCTAGAATTCTTTCTGTAAAGGAAGACCTCTCCTCAACCCCAGATATAGGAAGACGTAAATACCAGATAAAACTGTTAAAAAACTTGTCCTAAAATACCAGAGACAACTGTTAAAAAACTTGTCCTAAAATACCAGATAAAACTGTTAAAAAACTGTCCCAAAACATCAAATAAAACTGTTAAAAAACTTGTCCTAAAATACTAGATAAAACTGTTAAAGAATTTGTCCTAAAATACCAGATTAAAACTGTTAAAAACTTGTCCTAAAAAAACCAGATAAAACTGTTAAAAAACGTGTACTAGAATATCAAATAAAACTTTTCTCAGGTGCCACCGTTTGTACATTAAAGGATGGGACTTCAGAGACGACTGTAAGGAATTTGTACTGTCTTTTCCCTTAAGTTCATGGTTCCCTGCGGCGGTAAACTTGATTCTTTCTTTAGCAAATCCAATAAAAACTATTTTCAAGGCAAAAAACTAAATTTAACCTTAAAATCGTCATATTTCAAGTCAGTCGTTTTTGAAGTCTTATCCTTTATAATTATATTTAATAATTTACTTGCTTTGATCGTCAATAACTGCAGGGGTGTATATTTTTTAAGAATTCCTTCCCCCATACCACCCCCACCCCCGGCCCGAATGAATTATGACAAGATATGGGAAAAGTACAAAATTTGAAATTTTAAAAAAAGTTTTTACACACATTTTGAAACATTTTACCAAAAGTTTATTTTATGTCCCCAATATTTGGAATAAACAAAACTACGCTTCCGCTCCGCGCAAGGATGTTAAATTAAACTTCAGAGAAAATAAATGATAATACGAGAAATAATATACACTCCTGTCACTATAAGTACCTGATCATTTGCGTCATAATAATTCCTTAATTTCTTGACCAGGCCAGGATGAGTAGAATAGGAATCCTGACAGGCCTGTACAAGGAAAATTTTTTCTTAGCGGAAATTAATAAAATTTAATTTTATAAATTTATTTTGGAAGGGGCCCCGCGGGGTGGTGCTCTACTTATCCCTAGAGAAAATATTGCTAAGAACTAGCTGATTCGGAACCACCAGAGAGTAAATTTTTAAGCTATAATTTCTTAAATTGTTAAATATTAGATCCGATTGGATCTGTAAATCTTTAGTTTGGCATATGTCCTAGAGAACGATTTTTTGTCCAAACCCGTGGACGCAGCGCTCGGCCCACTATCCTGTCCTAGCCGCAGCGCTCGGTCCAGAAAGAGTCTTAACTAACCTAACCTGTGGCCGCAGCGCTCGGCCCCCTAGCCCATCTAGCCGCAGCGCTCGGTCCAGAAAGTGTCTTAACCTAACCTAACCCGGTAATTTCCTAGTNATAACATCGAATGAAGGAAAGAGAAGTTTTAGCCTTCTAAAGAGAATACTTCATTACACAAGATGTACTATGACGGAGAGCAGACTTAATGATCTTGCACTTATGGCTCACTACTGAGAAAATCATTGAAATGTTTGTGCAAGCAAATCCAAGAAAATTGAAGCTTAAAAGAGTTGGTGAATATGTAGATGGAGTAAATTCTATCTAAAAATTACAGAAGAAATTTCGTTTATTAGTGAAAATATGATTTTTTAATGATGCTGTGATTATTGATTTAGTTAGCTGTGATGGAGTTAAGTGATAAATTTATAAATTTATAAAGTTAAAAAGTTAAAGTTAGTTTTTCGAGCAAAGGAATAAATTTTAGAATAAATTGTAGACTCTATAAGGTTAGTAACACTCAAAAATGTTGTCTTTTTGGTGTACTTTTTATGGTGTTAATTGACTTTTTGAACAAAACAATTCCAGGGGGGGGGGCAAAAAACAGCCAGGGGGGGCAAAAAAATTTTTTTCGCTCTTCGCGCGAAATCTTGCCCCCCCTGGCTGAAATCCTGTGTACGCGCCTGAAGGTAAGTAGTTGTTACGGAAAGTTGTTCATGGTTTGGGGGGTTTAATTTTCTGAAAATACATAAGTCGAGACTTAAAAACTTATATGAAAAATTATATGAATTTGTATCTCTCATACAATTTATAATTCCGTGCAGTTGTTCGTATATGATCAATATGTTAAAACGAAATTAATGCAAGGGCCATAATGGGGGGGGGGCAAGGGGAATGCCTCTTCCTAGACCTAAAGAGGCCAGAGGGGCCCAGAACTCAGAATTTTCTCACTTTTCAAATCTTACACTTAAGAGTGAAGAACAGAAAAAAATAGTTTGCTATTCATTTAGTGCACTGAGAAAATTGAATACATGTGCCAGAGCCCCCATGACAGAAGTCTGAATGAAAAATCTGTCTAGAATGCACATTCATCCTAATTGGATGGACGCTATGAGGGTTAATAATAATAATAATAATAATAATAATAATAATAATAATAATAATAATAATAATAATAATAATAATAATTGCAATAAATGAAATGAAATTAACATGTTATCATGTTCCAAATCGGAAATACATATTATTGATATCATATTGATAAATGATAACAAACTCATGAGAATCAACCAGTAGCCATAACATCAATCAAACTTAAATTATAATTTTACTATAAAAATAGAGCTTTCAAGATTAGCAATAAAATCTTGTCAATTCATATTTACATAATATATTGGTTATACGAAAACTAGTTCATGCAAAAATTAAAATTTCGAAAATCTTTTGTGTAAAATTTAAACTAGAGAAGCTACAAAGCCTCAAAGGCTCAAAGTAGTATCAGTAATGTCGCATAGATTTGAATAACATTCATTAAATCATTATTAAATCTAGAGTTATGTTGCAATATTATGCATATACATTATATGCAGGGTTACTATTAAAGAGACTTTAATAGATAATGACGACCCAATTAACATGACGATCTGAAAGCAAACAAACAAAATAAGAATTAAAAAAGCACAGCTGGTGCTTTGCCTCTTTCTAACAATAAATCTAGCTTTCCAATGATGCTTTACCATTTTCCTTCAAGAAAATAAAGCCATTTAAATAAATTTATGCATAATTTCAGAATTACAAACTTATATCTATGGTCATGAAAAAGATTCGTAAAGGAGAAGAAGATGAAGAAAGAGCAAGAGAAAAAGGAAAAGAAGGAGGGGAAGAAGGGGAAGGAGGAGAAGGAGGGGATGGAGGAGAAGGAGGAGAAGGTTGGGTTCGAATGGTGAATGCTGAATTCTATTTGGTTCTTTTCTCCTACCAAGGTATAAAAGTCGAATTAAAACGCTGACCAAAACAGAAAGCTTTGTTCAAAATTATAAAACAGCGATTTTCGGAATTATCATTTATCGCAAAGTAGATTGTGGTGATAAGGAGCGTATTTTATATGTTGCATATGTTGATTTCCTGCATTTTGTGATCATTATATACATATATATATCTGTAGATATATGATTTAAAATAATTCTGTAGATAATAAAAAAGAGTTCCTTCCTGGAGATACGGTACAGTTGTTGTACAAAACAAAGGTAATACATTTAAATTTATTGTTATGGTCACAGACAAAAAAAAAAGAAATTTTCAGTTTTTGGAACTTTTCTTGTGAAGACTCTCGTGAATGTTTTTTTATTTATCTATCTGTAACGAATCAGTCAACTATTAGGACAATTGCAATTAGTGAGTTGTAACTTTGCTCTTTTTTTTAAAACGATTCTCTTTTACGCCAAGAAAAAATGTAAACCATTTTGAATTTATCGGATTTTCTTCAAATAATATATCAAAAGTTTGTATTTAGACCCATCGAAATATGTTGGTTTCACAAATTAATGTAAACTACGAGGGAGGGAAGGCACCACACCTTAGTTTTTCCTCCGACCAAAATTAACGTTGCAAACTCAACTTCTCGGCATTGCGCATTAATGCATTTCAAAACACAGAAGCAACGCCCGGACTTAAAAAAGGAAGGTTGGAGGAACTATTGGCGAGTTTTGACGTCATTTGTGGTGCAGATGAAAAAATGGTGTTGTGGGCCTCCGCTCGCTCATCACACTGCAGTTCTTTAAATCTTGATTATAAAGGATTGGGGATACGTGAAACCACATGGAGGACATGGAGTAGATGTATCCACAGGAATTATCCCCCTGGCGTTTATTTCCAGAACTACCTTCAAAACTGAGATATCTGTAAACTTAAAAAGCGTGATAAAAACGACTTTGAAAACTTTTAAGAAGGCGTTTTTGCACAGAAGGTAATTGTTGAGAATTGCAAAATTGAAAAATTTGATTTAATTTGGAATTTTTTACTAAAAATTGATTCTATTCGTAGCATCAAAGAGAATAGTAAAAAGAAAACAGAAGATTTTGTTAAACAGTGGGGCAAGCTTACAAATCTTTATGGGTGAGGAATCATATTTTTTAAAGCTTTAAAATAGATTTTTCAGCACTGACACCTCAGAATGTTACGGATTATAAAAGGACTCAAAGAAGTTCGTAGTAAGATTTCGATTCTACTGGAGACCACCGGAGGGATTTCATTTTCACTGGAGGGGTTTGAAAAATGCTTTTTACAATTTAAATCTTTACTAGTGGAATTATAAACCCCCTAGGAAAGATATCTGAATCCCTCCAGTGGAATTATAAACCCCTAGGAAGGATAACTGAATCCCTCCAGTGAAATTATAACCCCCCAGGAAGGACATCTGAATCCCTCCAGTGGAATGTAAATCACCCTGCGTAAAGTTTTGAATTGTAAAAAGTATTTTTTCAAACCCCTCCAGTGAAAAAGAATTCCCTCCGGTGGTCTCCAGTGGAGTCAAAATCTTACTACGAACTTCCGTGACTCTTATAAAAGCTCTATTAAATGTTTCTGAACGACACCAACGTTCATGAAAATTTAATTTGATATCAAACACGATGCCGATCTCTGAACACTATATATGATGCCCATCCCTAGACAACTACGCTCTACACACTAAACAATTCAGTATACTTTTTAGCGTCTCAATATAAATGATGTTATTAATTTGTAAGGTGCTGGAACTCTTTAATAAACAAGCTGGCAACCCCTGATCTAGACAAGTTAACTCAAGAGACTGTTCAGGCAATAAATGGTAAAAATTAAATTTTTCGTATAGACTTTATTGATCATAACCAGGGGTGTATAATGTCCTGAAAAATCTCCCCCCCCCCTCCTCTCTTTTAAAAATAATTTTTTCCCCTGAGGATGGTATATTTTTATAGGGGTTTATTTGCTGAATTTGGGAAAATAAATAAATTTTTGGGTAAAAAGTATGGAAAATAATGGAAAAATTTGCATTTTTATGTCCAATTTTTCCCCCCCAGATCTTTGGAAATGGGTGAGGGGTAGGGTATTTCTTGAAAATATAAACCTCTTTGGTCATAATTTTAACAACACTGCTATTTACAACATTTGGATATGACCATTTGACATTTTCTCTACATAGACCTCTTTAATCTATATGGGATTATGAACCGTTTAAACTATTGAACAATTGCTCCATATACCATTGACTCTATACCACATTTGCTCTTTACATTTAAACTAGCCCCATTTCCTTTCTACGTCAATAGACTCGGCCCCTTATATAGCCTGAGCGGCTTAACTATATTCAAAATATAATTTCACAAAGTAAATCTGCGTAAAGCAAACGCCATAACGTCTTTTTAAAAGAGCTTTAGAATGTCCTCCTAGATCTTCCTATTGTGATTGATGATATCTTTTCATCTATCATTCTTGGCGTCAAATCATATTTCACCCTAATTTAAACATTCCAAAGATTTATTTCCAAATATGCGTCCGGGTAAGACGGGTAAGACGTCCGGGACGCTGAAGAAGCCCGGCCTGGTCTACCTGGGAGTGTCTTTTTCAAAGAGCTTTAATTTTTCCTCCTAGATCTTCCTATCCTGGGTAAAGAGAAGCTTCTAATTGATAATAAATGTGCTGGGATCTGCACTGAAGAACTTTCCTTCAACATGCTGGCACAACTTTACCAGAACAATCAACTAACAGCAGCGTACGACTTTTCACGTTTTTTTTTAAATCACTTGAAAGCAAGAAATTTTGAGCGTAATGTAAGCGTAATTTCAAGTGAACCGCTACGCAAAGCTGGCAATGTGGAAGATAATGGAGATAACATCGTTTTCCTAACTTGAAAAGTGTTTAATTCTGATAATTTCTTATTGTTTCTTTTAAGCAAGGAAATGCTTCTAAGTCGGACATTGCCATCTTTGCATAGAGGGTCACTCGAAGAAATTACGTGTACAGTCTCTTTAAATCTGTTCTCTCCCTTCCTGGGAGTTTAACGGATTCTACCAATGATAGGTTCATAACCTTTCAATTTGAACAAGAAGAAACAGTGTAAACCTCTAATGAGCTGAACTGTTGAATTTAAAAGCTTCCTTATGAAGGATAAATAAAAACAAATAAAAATTTATAAAATGCGTAATGGAAAAGTTATGTTTAATATCTTAGTTATTTATTAGTTTTGAGAATTTTGAACTTTTAAATGGTTCCATAGTTAAATCCAGAGTTAACATTGAAAAATCTGAGAAGTTTCACACAAATCATAAATTGTTTTTTTTTAATTTGCTTTTATTACATCTTTACTTGTAATTCAATGTTTTTTTCTTATAAAATATGCTTTTATTACATCTTTACTTGTCTTTCAATGTTTTTTTTTATAAAATTTGCTTTTATTACTTCTTATAATTCAATGTTGTTGTTTTTTAATAAAATATGCTTTTATTACATCTTTACTTATAATTCAATGTTTTTTTCTTACAAAATATGCTTTTATTACATCTTTACTTATAATTCAATGTTTTTTCTTATAAAATATGCTTTTATTACATCTTTACTTATATTTCAATGTTTTATAAAATATGCTTTTATTACATTTTTACTTATAATTCAATGTTTTTTTCCTTATAAAATATGCTTTTATTACATCTTTACTTATATTTCAATGTTTTTTCTTATAAAATATGCTTTTATTATATCTTTACTTATAATTCAATGTTTTTTTCTTATAAAATATGCTTTTATTACATATTTACTTATATTTCAATGTTTTTTTTTATAAAATATGCTTTAGGTCTAAGTTTGATGAAAATGAAGGGGAGAGTAAATATTGCTGTCTATCAATGCGGTAACAAAAATAATCACATTTTTTCAGATCTTTTCTTTAATCTAAAATTGTAAAAACAATTTCAGATCATTGTTTTTCGGGAAATGTACATTAAAGAAATATTGAAATAGAAATAAAACAATAAATCTGAATATTTACCAAATATTTTTATCTTCTTATTTTAGCAATCTCGTTTTGTTGATTTTTGATAATTCAAAACATTAATTTTCTAATATCACTGTTCTTGTCCTTTACGAAAACCTGACACCAAAATGTTTTTTTATTAAAGAATTTGTCACATTTTTAAAACAAAATATTTAATGTGTAGAAGTCATGAAATAAGTTTCCCGATACAACAAAATCAGAGTTTGGATTTCCAGTTGGCTTTATTTCGACCTGAAGAAGGATTCATAACAGGTTTAATTTTTAATTTTTCTGTTTCTGCTAATCTTCATATTTGTTTGCTCATGAATTAATTAAAAATTTTCCAGTATTTAAAATTGATAAAAGAAAAAAGCAATTCAATATCCTTTTACGGGCAGCCGTAGTACATTTGAATTTCCGAGCCGGGTCAACCTTTCCGATCCTAGTTTGTTCTGTACCTAGCTCTATGGACAGGACTAGCCGGTGCAACAAGGTGTACTGTCCCGGTTTGCCTCAATTATATAGGCTGTATGTACTATGTAGTATATGTATAATGTACAGTGTACAGTTTGCCCCAGCTGATTAATATTCGATCGAGTACTGGAAATTAACCGGAGTGATGACAATGTCAAATAATTCTTTATCAGTTCAATCTCTGAATTCCCTCTTTTCTCAATTCCTAAAACCATTGGTTGACCAAGTCACAAACAATTGGAGGTGGGAATTACGTTGTATTTTCTAATTTGTTAGGTTTGCGAGTGTCGACCATTAGGATTGACCTATGATAGTTCCAAAAATTGATGAGAAAAATGGAAACCCTGAGAATAAAGCCTATAAACCTTGTTAGTTTAAAAGTTTAACAATTCTATCATTTTAGAATTTTTTGTATATCCTGATATGACAAAGCCCAAGGAAATCGGAAGGAAACGGATTTTTTTCAGCGACAATTTGAAAGGTAAGTAAAAACTATTTTTTTAAAAATTTCATTAATTTCAAGTTTGTATTTTTTTAGAAAACACCTTCTTTGCTGTGTTAGTTGTTCTGAATGAACCTTCTAAAGCTAAAAAACCTGTCGCAGTTTGCTTTAAAAAGCTAGAGAAGACGGTACTTAAATATTATTATAGATATATTTATAGAGTGGCATGTCAGATTCACAGTGTTATCCTTAAAAACTTTGTCTGATTTATAATGAATGAGATTTATCCATGATTTCTCTTTAAAAATTTGGTTAATTTTAGCTGTGGGTATTCTATAGAAATGACCGATTTCTTGCAACAAAATCAATAGAGGAAATTGACAGAATTTTACACTTCAAAAACGACGATTTCGTCCACATTTGTAATCAGATAAAAGTTCAAGGTACCGTGCACGTGAATCTATAAATGGATGATCGCTTGAAATACAAGGACAGTCTCTTTAAATGAATTACATACAACGATTGTATTTCATGTTTTCTACCATAATGTTAGATTTGCCACTTTTCCAAATTTCTTTGGTAAGTTCCATTTTACGAACAAAATAATGAACTTTAGATATTTGAAGAAGACGACATTGTTCTCTCGGTCTTTCCTGTCAAAGATATTCATGTTTCAATCAGGTTTACAGTGAGAGCCAGAAAACTGTGGAATAGGAAGACGTCATTAAATCAATCCTAAAGTGCATTTGATGTTGTCACAAAGCAAATAGTTTGATTAAGTGAAATGGGTCTGTTTCCACTGCACAATTGCTGTGTCTTATGTACATTTGACTATTTAAAGTCATAACTTGAGTCTAAACGACGATTTCCTATTCCAGAGTTTTCTGGTTCTCACTGTAGTGTACGATATTTAGATCAATGTAGACTAAACATTTTTTTCTTTAAAAAAAAATATAAAAAAGTTTTCTGGGGGAATCAAAATTATAATTTCAATTTTTTATTAGTTATAATGGATATCAGAAGAATTAAACAAATGTTGCACATCATTCCGCAAAATATAGTTGCGCATTTTCTCATATGCTGTAACTATTATGCATAAAGTTTCATTTCTAACTTAAAAATGTTGTTTGGAGTGTATTTCAAGTGTTACTTGAAAATATGGTTTAAATTCTAGGGAATACTTGAGAAGACAAATCGAAAGTAATGAAAGAAGAACGTCCAATAAAATCTGTTTCTCCTGTAAACGGATGTCAAAAGAGGATATAAAGGTAAAAGGAATTAAGTCTTTGTCACTAACACTAATAATCTCTATTTCTATGCAATCTGATGGTGTGAACTCAGATTATTTATCTTAACAGAATTCATAGTTTGAAATATCGTTGAAAACATATAGGGATTAGAAAATTAGATTTTGTGACAAAGACTCAATTTCTTTGGTTCCGTATATTTCTGTATAAATGTATCTGTAAGATGTATCCTTAGAAACCAAGACATCATAGTATCTTCTTAAAAGTATTGAATTCGCTTAGTTTTTCTCTTTGCTTTTGGTATACAAACCTACAGTCACATGTGTAGAGAAATCACAATTCAAAGTTGTCAATTTGTTAATTGAAACCAATATTTTTGGTTTAAAGGACTTGAAGAGTTCCATTGTGAATCAGACATGAAATTCTTCTAATAAATTTTGCCATTGATTAGTTATTTCAAAGTTTCATCTGTAAGAGTGGTAAATTGGCATAAACATGGGGTGGAATTTAATTAACTGGAGAGGTGGCTGAACTACTTACCTCCGGTTCCAATCCTGGATCATCGATTCAAATCCTCATGAATCTTTAACTTTGAATCGGTGCTTCAAGATTTGAACCAGTCCAGCGATAGATAGTTCAGCGGCATAGCTCAAATCCATTAAATTCGGTCACCCCACTACGAGATTAATAAAAAATATTAATCTTTCTTTTAAACAGGATGATGATTATGTATTCTATAATACATATTGTTTATACAGGATGATGATTATGTATTCTATAATACATATTGTTTATATAGGATGATGATTATGTATTCTATAATACATATTGTTAATACAGGATGATGATTATGTATTCTATAATACATATAATCTCAGTATTCATGAAAATATCAACAATCTCTATGTTTCCATCAATCGTGCTAAAATCACTGGTAAGCTAGAAATAAATATTAGCATTCACAGTGGTCCTCATAAAACTGTGGAAAAGGAAGACGATTTTTTCTCAATGTTTCATATCCATTGGACTAATTAAATTGTATCTTAAGTCTGAAAGTCGTCGTTGTATAAAATAGTTTTATGGGACTACTGTATTAAAAAAAGGAATTAAAAAAGAGTCAAAATAATCTTTTTTTTGAGAATAACAACTTTAAATGGTTTAAATTTTCAGACCATTAGAACATCTATATATAAATTTGGCTTGTCTGTCTGTTTTTTTGTATCCAATAAACGTCAAAACGGCTGAACCGATCGGGCCCAAATTTTTTGTGGGACATCTAGGGACCCNTTTTATTTGTTTTATATACAATGTACTTTAAACAATGATTTATTTGGTCACTAGATGTCTCTACCACATCAAACCCCTGAAACATAGAGAGCAGAACCACCTCGTTTTTATACAGAGCGTCCCATATCATATTGGATTATCTTCAAGGTTTAATGCTGAAATACGCACCTAATACCCGAAAAACCTAGTGTTTACTGCATGCAAATTTGAATATTAGGCTTTTACAATTTTTAAAATTAATTTAATCTTTATAAAACTTCTGATTTGTCTCGAAAAACGCAATTTAGAGCCATAAACAATCCGAATTGATGTGGGACACCCTGTATAAAGCAAATGAAAAATATTCTTAAATATTCACTTTTTAGGAATGCATCGAATTGAATTCGATGATCAAAGGTTGTAATGCTGGGTGATTAATTTCAAATTTTATTGAATTATTTACGATCTGAGTGGAATAATGCAACTTTACGAATTTGTATGGACGCTACGTTTTTGTCATTCGTGAATAGTGGGTGGGCAAAAAAACAAGAAGAGTTTCTAGATCACAAAGCTGTGATATGGAATTATTCGTCACAACTTACAGAGTTTTCTTCTCATTGGAGACCCACATGGACGTCTCGTTGGAGACCACCAGACTCTCGTTAGAGATCCCCAGATTTTCATTAGAGACCCCAATCTTTACATTGGAAATCTTGAGGTCTTCAATGAAAAGCTTGGGGTCTCCAATAAAAATCTTGGGGTCTCCAAGGTAAAACGTGGAGTCTACAATAAAAAACCTGGGGGTCTCCAATGAAAATATGGGGTCTCCAATAAAAATCTGGAGGTCTCCAATAAGAAACTGGGGGTCTCCAACGATACTTCCCTGAGGGTCTCCAATAGTACTCCAATGCTGATGATTTTTCCCCCGACTTCCTTAAATCTCATGTTTACTTTTAGAGAACTTCCAGATGTTTGGAGATAGTTCTGATTTGGGTGTGGAGGTGTATATTCCAGATAGGAATGGTTCATACACAAGTGTTCTGGATTTTTCAGGTCTAAACAAGTAGTAAAAAAAGATTTGAGGGACTGTAAGCGTAATTGCAAGTGACCCTCTCTGCAAAGATGGCAATGCCCGATGTACAACGGTAACCTTAAAACTTTTGTCTGATCAAGTATGAACTAGATATCAATTTTTTGTTTCTTTAAACTGTTTATTTTAATTTGCATTTGCTTCAAACAAGTAACTTACGGATTTCTTGCTTATAAGAAGCATAAGAGAAATTATCTTTTTTTCTTTTTGTGTACTATATTTTTGTTTATTTTTACATGATATAATTTGATAATAAATCTAATAATTGATTTATACGGACTCGACTGCTGACTGTACACTTATTATCATGGTTGCCCTCCGTTTTTAGAGTGGCAGTTCCTATTCCCAATGCATTATCCTTTAAACCTTTGTCTGGGGGACCATGAAGAATTCATCGTCGTACTTCGCTTTCTCTGCTGCATTAGAACCGCAATTGAAAATAATCTATTCTGTTTTTTCTAAGACAAATGTATACAAAAAGGGTATCATTGTGTATATGACAAGTAACTTTTTTTTAATCGAGGAACACTTGAAATTACGTTGGACAAACCCTTTAATATAAAAAATGTACTAATCTATTCAGGGGCCAAGACAGGGGTGTATACAAGCCTAGCTTCTGTTAGTGCAGGAAATATTTCAGAATGGAACGAGGTTTTTCTAGTAAATGTAAATGAGGTATGTTTTAATATGTGATGTGTGTAAATATGTGACTCAACCAAGGACACTCTAAATCCTCATTTGACGTCACTGCGTATTTGCAAGAATGATAAATTTTGCGGCTCACTAAATAGAAACGAAATCTAAATTTGAAAACTTGAATTATAATTGTATTTTTTAGCTGCAAACTTGTTGCACAATCAAAATTTGTTAAATGTGATTTTTGTTAGTTAAGTATCAGTGACGTCATATGAGGATTTAGAGTCTCCATTGCAATAAAGACGACATTTACCTACATTGGAGCGCATCCATAGTGTCTAACCTTATTAAACAACCTTGGGTATTTCTCAATCAAATCTTTGAATTTACTAGTGTAAACATCTTATTTCATCCGTTTTTTAAATATTATAGATAAAGGAATTGAGTCTTTGCCACAAAATTAGATTTTCTAATCCCTATATCTTTGCAACCTTGTTGACCTTAGATATTAAGCTCAATAAAAATTTTATGATTTGATGTACCAAAAGTCTTATATTATGCCATGCAAAAAGTTTACTTTAGCAAAATAGCAGCCCTTGCCCATTTGACAGTCACCTTTGCAGAGAAACCTCAATTAAATAAACAAAATTCATGCTATATCAGAAAAAGCTTTTAAGAGCACTATTGTAAATCGGGCCTTGCCAACTTTGTATGGACTGCAGAGTGCAGAGGGTCACTTGAAATTACAACATTGTTCTTTCAATTAAAACAACACTATAAGTTGTGATTGTAAATTTTGTTTGTTTTTTAGAGGTTTAACAAAAAGATGCTTGCGGATAACCATACGAACAAGAAAACCTTTTTGGAAAAAATGGAAATTCTATTAATTGAAAGATCATTTAAGGTGTCAGAACCTTGCGACATTTTTATCTTTTTAGGGTTGGAGAAATCTTCACATTTTATTTAAAATCTACAAGTACGATGAGAAGAAAGGGAAAAAACTTGTGGCTTTCTCCTTTTTGCCTTTTCAGTCCAGGAAATTTGTCAAAAAATGTTATTCATAAAAGGCTGTTTCACACTTTTCAAAAAGGAATTAAGTCTTTGTCACAAGCATAGATTTTCTAATCCCTATATATTTGCAACTAGATGGTGTAAACCTTTAATACTTCAAATCTAGATTATTGAATGTAACAGAATTAATAGTTTAAAAATTCTACGGCATTGGGTTGCAAAGATAAGGGATTAGAAAATCAGAGTTTGTGGCGAAGACTGAATTCCTTTCTTATTGAGAAAAAAAAAACAAAGAAATATGACTTTTAAGTTCATTTGGATATGACACGTAGAATTTGTAAAGGAACTAAGTCTTTGCCACAAGCTCTGATTTTCCTTTCCCTATCGTTGCAAACTAATGCAGAAGACCTTAGAAATTTCAAAGTATGAATTCTGTTTAATCAAATAATTTAAGTTTGAAATATCAAAGATTTCCGTTATCTGGTTGCAAAGTAATAGGGATTAGAAAATTTTAGTCTGTCGCATAGATTCAATTCATTTGGTTTTATTTTGACATATTTATTCATAGAGCAAACCATACGTTTTTGCAAGACTCAACGATGAAGGAAAAAATAAAAAGTCCTAAAACAAAAACATTTTTAAGCATATTTTCAATGAAAAGTTTTATTGTTATACATTTCTCTAGTTTATCTTAATTTTAAATTTTTTAAATTTTAAATTTACCACAATTTTAATTTTTTTTTAATTTATAATTTTTCAAATTATTTAAAACCTTTTTTGCATGGTAAATAGTTTGTTTTCTTACCGCCTGGATTCTTTAATAAAATCAGTTCTAGGCCCATTTGAAAACTAAAAACTGATTTTGCTTTATAGCTTGAATCGCATAAGAATTGCTCGATTTTTTATATCTCATCAGTTGATAATATTTCAAACAACAAACGATTATGAACCAACACATTTGGATTACATTCAAACAAAGGTAACAAAATTTTAAAAATTTGTATTTTATTTGTCTTAATAAAATAGAATTGTCAAAAAGAGAAATAGAGTTATTGTCACAAACTCAAATTTTCTAGTCCCTATATCTTTGCAACGTGATGGTGTAAACCTGTTATATTTCAAACTCAAATTATTTGATCTAACAGAATTCATAGTTTGAAATATCAAACGTCTATCACATTGGGTTGCATAGATATAACAATATGAAAAGCAGAGTTTGTGGCAAAAACTCAGTTTTTTTGTCTATGATTTTCTAAAATTTAAGCAGTTGAATTAACAATAAAACATTAAAATAAATAAAAATATATAATTTTATATATATAACTACTATAGTACCAGGCGTTGCCAGTAAAACTTTTAAAAAACTTTTAAACAAAAATTCGAATTAAAAAAATTTGAAAAAAATTTTAGCCTTTGTTTCCCGCATGGTTCTCAAGAGTTCTCTTTAAAAAAATTCAGCCAATTTGGTTCAGCCGTTTGGCAGACTATAGCTAAGATATATATATAAGCGGAGAGCTTTATTATATAGAAGATTGTTAAAAAACAAACTGTACATGCACAGATGCCGTATTTGCTGGATGCAGAGGCTAAAAAGATGAAGAGATATAATGTGAAGAATAAATTTGCCCCCAAAAAGGATGATTTCTTAGGTAAATAAAGCTTATTCTGGTTGTCGGTATAGGTGGGGTTTCTCTATACATTATATATTATCTATGTTCAAACTAGAGTTGTTATCCGTTATTAAACATTTCGGAATTTTTAGACTTTCAGGGGAAAAATCTGCTGAGAAGCTTTACACATTTCAAAATTTCGCTGTCCATTTATGAACTTATGCCATCTATTTCAGAGGTAGATACTTGTCTAAAATCTACTGAACTATCTGAAGTATAATACTTATAAATCTATAACTATCTGAAGTATAATACTTATAAATCTATTTCAGAGGTAGATACTTGTCTAAAATCTGCTGAACTATCTGAAGTATAATACTTATAAATCTATTTCAGAGGTAGATACTTGTCTAAAATCTGCTGAACTATCTGAAGTATAATACTTATAAATCTATTTCAGGAGGTAGATACTTGTCTAAAATCTACTGAACTATCTGAAGTATAATACTTATAAATCTATTTCAGAGGTAGATACTTGTCTAAAATCTACTGTACTATCTGAAGACCCGAGTATATTCCAACTGATAAACATTAATCCTTCTCAAGTGGAAACCTCAAACCTTCAGAGGAAAGTCTTTTAGATATTATTCAGTGGATCATCATTAAAGTTTCCACCGTAATTCTGGGTTACAGTTTACGTACGGAAATGATTCGGAGTTTTTTTTCCATTTCCAGGACACAAAAAAGTTTTACGGTTTACGGTCTGGAAAACGGAAATTTTTTGGTTAACAGAACAAAGTTTGGAAAAATTCGGCTTTCACTTTATCAATTATCCCAAAATTCCACTTTACAGAAAAAATTTTCAAATCATTTCATTCCCAAAAGTGAAAAAAAAATTCCCGAAAAATTATAAAACTGTCATCGGCAGTTTTTTACGGGCCACCCTTCTCTTTTTTTGTCCATCACACTAACAGTTTTCGTCCGTCCCAATCGAAAGTTCTTCAAAGTGATTTAGGGTTTAACCATCTAAAGTGGATTTATAGTATCTTGTGTTTTCTTTTGTTGTGACATATTTAGCACTGAAAAGTTCCGCGTAAACATACTTATTTTTATAAATTAAGGTGAGCTTACAGTTAGCTAGATTAGATCAAAAATATTTGGAAGAAAATGTTTTTTTTTACAAAATTAACATTTAAAAAAAATGTCACTTCATTCTTTACATTAAAGACTTTTCCTATAGTATTCTCTCCAACTTCCTACAATTCAAGCCACAGGTAGAACATTTTAAATGTTTAAAGTTTTCATAAACTGGGTTGAATTTATGAAATTTTTTTATTTTGTTCTGGGGAAAAAAATGACAGCTTTACATTGAAAGGCAAATTTTTTTTATCCTTTTTAATATTTTTTACACATAAATTCGCAAGTAAAACCCTGAAAATTTGCATAGCACTTGTGTGAAAAAATATTTTTGATGATCTGAAAAAAAAGAAAAACTGGACAAATTCCGTCAAAAGGCAAATTTTTCATCCTTTTTAATTTGTTTTACCCAAAAATTCAGCAATTAAAACCCTTTATTTTTCGTACGCCCCTAGAAGAACTATAAAGTAATCATCGTGGTTGTATTTAATACATATTCTCCATATACAGTTTAGCCGGTACTCGATTTTTCTCAAAAAAAATATAATTTTCAGTATATTGAGTCTTATTGAAAATAAGAATAGAAACTGCATATTTTATCAATGTGCTGTCAAAAAGCTTATTATACGATTTTTTTTTGTTAAAAAGCTTTTTTCGAATTACAAGTTTACAGTAATTAAAGAGAAGCTTTTTGGATTGACAGCTTCTCTTTGTTTCTTTGTTTTTGTGTTTCATGCTGTTTAAAAACTTGATATAAATCCAAATTTAAATCGAAAGTTGTCTTTTTTATATTGATATTGTAACAATGTGTGATTTTGTTGATCTTTTACGATCAGCGATTCAAGGATTTTTTAGATCGCTGAGATCGTAGCTACCTAGGGGTATCATGCCCCCCCCCCTTTTACCCTTCGGTTGGACTTTTGAATCCTATTTTGAATCCTAACGGATTTATTTGAGTTTGCATGTGAATTCTATAAATAACCCAAGCCACGCGGAAAACCGAAGCCAAGCTGAAAGTTCCGTTATTCCAGAGGCCCGGGTGCTGGGGGGATAGCCGGCCAGCTCCCGGGGAACTAGGGTTAAGCTCTAGCCTAGGGTGAAGCGAAATCTGGGGAAAATAGTTAGTTGAAGATCAGCTCCAGAGTTAACACCATCCCCTGAAGATTTCCCATCACTCTGTTCCGTTCTCAATTCATAATATTTGATTCGTATAGTATTTTCCTTTAGTTTTTGTATCTTTGTAAATAATAATAAATTGTAAGAAAAACCGACTCGTCGAATATTCAATCAAATGAGTAGTTGCATTGATTCATTGATTCATTTTTTCTTTCATATGTAACAATATAATCTCCTACCACCGTATCTGAAAATAACCAAATTTTAGTACACGACGTGTCATAATGGTTTTGGCTACAAACTCTGATTTTCTAATCCCTAAATCTTTGCAATTCGATGCCTTGGATCTTTGAGATTTCAAACCATAAGCTTTGTTAGATCAAATATTCCAAATTTAATATCTCAAAGGTTTACACCATCAGGTTCCCAAGATAAACGGATTAGAATATTTGAGTTTGTGGCAAAACTCAATTTCTTTCTCTTCCAAAAAAAAAAAAAAATTTTGGTCCAAAACCTTGAAAGGACTGCGAAGCAAAATAATGATTTTATAAATATGTAAAGTTCCATTTTTATTTTAGGTTCCCTTTAAAAAACTGGTTTTTGTGAAACAAATCCTGGATTCCCTTTGGCGAATTTTAGATGAGAATCAGGAATATAGAAATCAAGTCGAAAAAAAAATTCAGAATTTATCTCAGATCTCGGCAATTATTTCTCTTGAAAAAAGATGAGCTAATTTAAAGTGGTCCTGCATTTAAAGTGCATTTACAAAAGAGGGGTATGTCTGATTCATGAACGTACTCTTTAAATATTCATCTGATCAAAAATAAATAAGTTTTCCTTTTTTGAAGCTAAAAATCAATTAATTTGTTTACCATTGTCGATTTCTCTGTGAAATGCGTATTTCTCCAAGAGAGAAAGGTATGAAATTAACACTTACAAAATGAAAACGGCAAAAGCCTTCTCATTGTTTTTCAGATAAAGGTTTAAAGGGTATCTTTGTGTATCCAACATGCCACTCCATAATTGAGGGTACACTTGAATTTCGTTCTACTGCGGAAAGTAGATTGATATTAATTTTTAAAAAGTTTCTTTTTCCTATTTTTGTTTATAGAGATTATAATTTTCTTGATTTCTCGTTGAAGGTTGAGGCTGAGGGAGTATTTTACTGCTTTTTTGAAACTATTTATCCTATTTCTTTTGTGTAAGTAAGAAAACATAATAAAATCATCAATCATGGATTTAAAAGGAAAATTATTAAATTGTGAAGTAAAGGTTGATAATTTATGCTGTTGATCTTTCTTTTAAAAATTTGAAAAAATTATTTTTAAAAGTTTTTAAAAATCGTTTAATAAAAGAAACTCCTCATACTCCAATTCTCTATATCTTTAAATCTTTAAACCCTGGGACCGGGATTTATGAATAGCAAGAAGTATAGCTAGCTGAATCGCGCAGACGTATTGTTCAACCACTTCTCATGTGCCCCGGTTCAAGCATTAAAGAGGTGGATTAACCACGTCTGCGCTATTAATTAAATGTGGTCCTGTAGATTCCATGAACTAGGAATTCTGGCTTGAACAATTGTTCAAAGGTTTTCACAAAGATATAGAGAGAGGAAATTAGAGTTTAAGGCAAGTATTCAGTTTCTGTAGGAAAAATTATTTTCAAAATTATTTTTAGGAAAGAATATGCGAATATGAAAAATATATTGAAAGAATACATTCAGCATATTTTTGATAATAAAAATGTGTTTGAGCTTTTTATCGAGTCCTTCATCAAACTCCTCACAGGAATATATATTATAAATTATAATATATCTAATATTCAATAAAAAAAAGATAAATTGTGAATTATTATATTATCATAAATTATATGATTATTAATTATTATGAAATGTAATTCTTAAAGGGACTGTAAGCGTAATTTTAAGTTACTTTCCTTCTAAAGCATCTATATATAAATTTGGCTTGTCTGTTTGTCTGTTTGTTTGTTTGTCTATTTGTATCCAATAAACGTCAAAACGGCTGAACCGATCGGACCCAAATTTTTTGTGGGACATCTAGGGACCCCAGGGAAGGTTTATGAATGATTGAAATTTTAAAAATTTGTGTTTTAAAGGTTTTTAATTTTGTAAAAAAAATTAAATTTTTGAAAATCCGCGAATTTTTTTTTAAAAATCCGCAAAATTTTTTTCATCGTTGTTTTGAAATGTAAACAAAAAGAACATGTTCACAATTAAAATAGAAGATGGGCGCGAAGCGCCCTAAAAGCCTAGAAAGAAGGGCGCGAAGCGCCTTGAATTTCTAGTATCTCTAAAATGCTGTGTAAAAAGCTGTAAAATTTTAGTGTACGCTAGCGTACTGTGTGAACTCAACACGGATGCCGTTATATTTATTCTCAAAAACCTAAAACTCTTATAGTTATTTTCTTTTTGATTATTCCGATTGCTTTATAAGTATATAAATCAAGGCAACGAGAATGAAACAAGGTCTGAAGAGGCTTTAATCCCTATATTTAAATCCTTTGGCATATTCCTCGACTTTGTGGCTAAATCCTACCAAATCAACTACCTTCAAGATCAAACCTACCACCTCAAACCTTTTGAAGAAATGGCGGCTTGTATTGAAAACTACCTCGATCAAGAAAGTGATGAAGTCAAAAAAGGTCAACTTTGACTCGATCATTTTGATAGAATTTGAGTACAGGATGTTAGGGATATCTAACAACAATGTTGCTTTACATAACTCAGCGTTTAGAATTTTTTAAAGAGAATAATCACAAATGAATTGAGTATTTGCAACAAAGAATGATGTTTTATCTTAATATCTTTGCAACCCAATAAGTCGTAAACCGGTTAGATATTTTAAACTATAAAATCTGCATTATATTAAATAATCTAAGTTTGAAATATCTAAGGTTTAAACCTCAGGTTGAAAAGGTATAGGGATTAGAAGATATGGGCTTGTGTTAAAGACTTAATTCCTTTAGTTAGAAATACATAAAAAGAAATTCCCATATTTTCAAAAAATGCTCATATTTTAGAAATGTTTCTTTTACAGTAAATAACAATGGGTATAAACATACAATAAAATAATTTTTCTAATTTAGGCGTACTGTTTAAAGACTCACAGAAATGTCTGTCATTTGATATTTTTCTATAGTAAATAACAATGGGTTAAAATGTAATAAAATAGTTTTTCTAATTTAGGTGTTTTGTTTAAAGAGGTATTCAGGTTGTCATCATTAAATATATTCTTTGATCTTCTGTCATCTACTAAAATGTCATCATTTATAACAAAGGTATGAATTATTTAAATTCAAAGGAGTCTTTGCCACAAACTCTAATTTTCTAATCCCTAAATCTTTGCAGCCCAATGTCGTAGGCCTTAGATATTTCAATCTATTTAAAATACTAAAAATCTCAGTCTCAACCCAACACTGCATAAAATTCAAAATTCAAAATATTTTTTAGAAAGGACATGACAAAATGAAACTGTATGATCAAGGAAATTTTTAAATAAACTTGAGATGAAGAAAATATTTAGCATAAAGATATTATTTTTCATATTTGAAGAAACCCCTAATCAAGGTTATGGAAAGTGCCACTTTTAAATAATAATTTTTCCACCGTCATTTTTCCTTCGTATAAATGAAAAACTTAAAATTTTGCTGATTTTTCTGTTACTATTTGTGGATTTCTAAAGTTTTGATGTTTATTGTATAGAAACAAGCGATATTTATAAACAGATATAATTCTGTTATAGTTGCTTGGGTTTGATTCTATACAATTAACCCTTCGACTGGATGCTGCAATACAACTAGTGGACTCTAAGGTATTATACAACAGTGCTTTCCTATACTTTTTTCTCAAACTTTTTTACTTTTCCAACATTGAAATTTCTAAAAAATGTTGTTTTTCAATGTGTTAACAATTGGAGGGTAGGACCCATTACAGTCGAAACAGCGGTAGCTAAAATAAAAAGTCTAATGTTTCTTTTTATCTTAATCATTACTTTTTTATTGATTGATTTATTGGTCTAAAATTAACATATTAAAAAAAATATATTTACGTTTGCGGCATTGTCATATTTTTTTTTTTACTTTTCCCACTTTTTTTCGAAATTTTCGTTGGACCTGACTAATAAAGAACCCTGTTTATAAATTGATTAGAATTATTGATTGATTGATTAGATGAGTTTGCTAAATCGATTAATTGTTGTATTCTAGTTGAGTTCTGAGCCTGGGTTTTGGGAAAACATTCTCGAGGAAAATATTTAGAAAACATATTTTTAACAAATAAAAAGATTTTCAAAAATAAATTTTTGTTTTGATAAGTTTGATAGATATTAAATTTTAGGCGGCCTGGGACCCTTTAATGCTAGGATTCAGCCAGGAAATTAAAATATTTTTAATATTTTGTAAAAAATAATCCTTTCTCCAAAAATGACGTGATTTAGATCATTAAGACAGATTTAATGACTGACTTGATCCTTTTTATTCTCAAAAAAGCACAATTTCTAAGTTTGCTTCTAATTTATATTTTTTTTTGTTGATGAGTGGAAATGAGCCCACAATAATGTAAAAGACAACTTAAAAGTCATTTTCAAAATTTCTAGAAATTCCGTTTTTTTGAAGAATCAAGAAAAAATCATAAACATTTATCAAAGTTATAATCTTTTAAGATTCTGTAATTTGCTTAGATACGACTGGAGAAGACCGTGGCAAGCAAACTTCTTGTTCTCATGGCAAAACTTTTAGAGTTGACTTCTAAGGGAAAAATCCTTAGAATAAACTAAAAAATCATTTTAAAAATCATGAATTGAAATATTTTTATAAAGATGTAAAAAATAGATACATTTCAAAGAATTTCTTATATTAAAAATTTCCGTTTTTTATAAAAAAAATTTTAACGATTTTTTTAGTATTCTGAAGCTCATAGAGACAAGATTGTTGAGATTTTTCTTGGAAAAGTTGTAGAATTTCAAAGGAAATATTTTTTAACACAATTTGTTTCACCTTTTATTTTTTGAACTTTCAGCCTGCTTCTAAAAAGTTTCATAAAGTTTTAGGACAGGGTCCACTTTAAAGTGTCGCAACGCCTTGGGCTTTAATTTTACCACTCAAACTCACAAATGCTTTACTGTAGCTCTTTACATGTACATTGTAGCACTGGACAGCACTTATTGTTAGCTTGAGTTCTTAAGAAATAATTGGCAAAATTAATAACGATTTTTGCTGGGGAGCTTGCAACCTTAAAATCACAATGGCCAATGCCGTAAAACACTTGAAGGTTTAAAAAAATCTTGTGAAACAAAGACGACCTGAATGCCGCGAAATATCCGATAATGCTAAAGTTCTGTACATCTGTATGTTGGAAAGAATAAAGAAAAGCATAGTTGGTAAGCCATCAAATAATTATAGAATTTAATTATTTTCTATGATATTTTATAAATCCTAAGAAGTTCCTAAAAAAGAATGAAGGTGATAAATTCATCCTAGCCTATTCAATTGTTAAATCCTTCCTTTGAAAGAGACTGAAGGCCTAATTTCAAGTGACCCTCCATTTACAGAGTGGCATGTTCAATTCACAAAGATACCCTTCGAATTTCTGTCTAATTCTAGTTTTTCAAGTTTAAAATTAACTTTTTAAAATTAAGTAAAAGTGGGGTCACTTTAAAGACTGATATTGTTTAGGTTTATATATGGAAAAGGACAAACAATGGGAATATATGTTGGTTAGTGCAGGGGAGTTCTTAGTTACCCATCCTTTAGTATTAGCATATACTAGGTAAATACAGTCCCACCCCCCTTAGTTACCCATCTGTTAGTTTTAGCATACCCATAAAATAGAACTGGGATGAAATTCTAGTTTAAAATTAGATTAGAAAAGTCGACTTTAATGTCGACTTTTGATAAAAGTCAAAAAAAGGTTGACTTTAACTCGACTTAAACATTTAGACTCAAGCTCGACTTACAAAGTCGACATTAACTCCACTAAAAAATTTGACTTAAACTCAACTTCTGTGAGTAAAAAGTCGAACTAAATTCGAGTAGTTTAAGCCAGTTTTGTTCGTTGGGTACAGTCGGTACAGTAAAACCCACGAAGAGAAGGAAGAAAAAGGGGGGCCGGGGGGAATTCTTATAAAGTTACCTGTATTCAATCTGGATTACAAATCCCTTCAATTCTGATTTGGTTTGAATTGATTTTGATTTTGAGATTATCTATCAGCTATAATTCTCAACACTATAAGCAACATGAAGCCTTATCTAACTCCAATGGACGTCTTGTAATTTTAAAGTTTGTGATTCTAGGGTTCGAGAACATGCTTTCAAGATAGTTGTTAGATTCTTGAAGAAGGTAATATTTCTTCATCATTCATCAAGAAGTTTCCAAAAATGCCATTTATATTTCATGGGATTTTTTAGTTAAAAAGTTGCACGAACTTATACCATCCTTTTATACTTACTATGTTTGGTATTTTTGTTGGCTCGTAATAAACATGGAAACGGCTAAATGATTTAGATTTTGTCGGGACCTTATATAATCTTGATGGTGGATTTTAGCGGAGGGAAGAAAATCCCCATAATCTTCAAAATTTTAATTTAAAAAATTATTCTTTATAGTTTATGTAGAAAGAAATCCTGGAAAAAATCATTAAAAAGCTAAAAAAAACACTCAACTTTTATCAAAGCACTAATAGATTTAGTCTCATTTAGAAAAATGTTAATAAAAATTTTTGAAAAAGTTAAAGGTGTTAATTCTGACAATTTCCTCCATTTTGCTACGGCAAAATTTCTCAAGTCCCTTTTTATAGAAACTAGGATTGAAATTAACCATTTTTTTTTAATTCAATGTTTTTGCATTAATTCTCGTTCATACAAACCTTTATAAATGAAGTTTTACTTGAAATTTCACCTTCAGTTCCTTTAAGAATAGTATTGATTCTAGGTAGAGGAACTGGTCAGAGATTTCTCCCATCGTTTAGATCTCCAGCATGAGCTGGTCGTCACCATCCTTAAGATTATTCAGGTCAGTCTAGAGAATAGAGGCTGATTTAAAGAATTTAAACCGCGTCGCTGATCCAACAAATACCGGTTCCAATTGAGCACCTGCTCAAATCTCGAAACACCTAATACAATTTCAAGTGGAACAAAAATTCATTCGCGTTTCGGTTTTTAATTCAATAGTTTTTAATATAAAGACTTTTCTGTATTTGAACACTTTTTCGTTTAAAACGCATTTACCGACAAAAAGTATTAAGAGAAATAGCAAAAAACGTTTGTTTAGCAGATTAAGTCAAATTGAGATTGAAAACCACAACTTTCTCGGAAAAGGACCGAACTGTTAAATCAGCGTGAGTGCACTGTAATCTAGAGATTTAAACAGAGTCGCAAGCTGATGTGAAAGCACAATATTTAAGACTAAATATTAGGGGCGTGAATTTTGAACTCATATTTTTAACTCATTTTTGAACTCATATTTTTCTTTTGATACCCATTTATCGAAAAGACTTTGATTGAGCTTTGGAGCTAAATTTTCTTAGAATGAGTCTCCAAAGATGTTTGGTAAAATTGTAATTTTTGAAAATGTTCAATTAAATTACAAACACAAAAATTGCATATTTAAAAGTGAATACAGAGCCATCTATCGAGAATATTTTCCAACTATAGGTTGAGGATATGGATGGAGGAATTGATGGTTCATACATTGTTTTTTATAAAAACCAGTTGGTTCAGATACTGAAACTATTCTTCAGGTAAAATATAAAATCATGTTTGGCACTTAAAGTGACTGTATACGTAACTCCTACTGACTTTCCATGTCTGATTCACAACAATACCCTCTTTGCCTTTCTTAGAGAAAAAAGTGACTGAGATATCCTTTATTCATCTGAAAATAGATTTTTATTGATTGTTCCTCTTCAAAAGTGACTTGCGGATTTATGCTGCAGAGAAACAAATATATTCCTTCTTTTACTCAGATAAAGGTTCAAAGGGTACCTTAGTGTATCGAACATGCCACTTGAAATTATGTGAACAATCTTTTTGAAAAATAAAATGCAGGGCTCAGGCTGACCCACATATCCACCAGCTGGCCACTCACAGGAACTCTCATATCGTTGAAATCATCTTCGAAGCAAGCGCAGTTCAGGAATACTCATTATCATTCATATTTACAGGGTTAACCATATATGATAAGACTTTAATGAAGACATTAAACTCTTTTAATACAAAACATTGAGCGTTAGATTTGGCCTTCTGTCTTTATTCTTGTAAATATATTTTTTAAATATAAATTAATTCTTCAATTGTATTCAACCGAGATTGTAAGGGAAAAACTGGATTTCCTTCAGTAAACTCCTGAACCATGGTTTCAGATGATAATTGAGTATAATAATTTAATTATGATATATTTCTTTTCAAAAGGGGTTTCTTGATTTGTCATGAGTATAGGAAGTTAAAGAGAATCAAACAGATCTGGTTGGAATTTTATTCGACATAATAAAAGCAGAATATATGTCGTCTTCCGACCAGGTAGAGCATATGTCGTCTTCCCACCAGGTAGAGAATATGTCGTCTTCCCACCAAGTAGAGAATATGTCGTCTTCCCACCAGGTGGAGACTATGTCGTATTCCAACCAGGTAGAGAATATGTCGTATTCCGACCAGATGTCGTTTTCCGTCCAGGTAGAGACTATGTCGTCTTTCCACCAGGTAGAGACTATGTCGTTTTCCGACCTGGTATAGAATATGTTGTCTTCCGACTAGGTATTGAATATTCCGTCTTCCGACCAGGTAGAGAATATGTCGTCTTCCATCTAGGTAGAGAAAATATCGTCTTCCGGGCAGGTAAAAATATGTCGTCTTCAGACCAAAAAAAATAATTATCCCCTTTGCTCTGTCTTTCTTTGAATATGAATATTTAATTTTTAACTTTGAAAACTGATATCATTGTCAGCCATTTCACATCCTTTCTGATTTAAAGAAAGATCAAGGAGAATTTTTTATGTTGCTCTAAACTGGTTAATTTTGTTTGTATCTAGAGTGTAAGTGAGATCTACAGTTGGTTTATTGAGAAGATATGGAAAATGTATTTAAGTATCAACTCATCAGTAAGTCAGCAGTTTAAAAACAGGGGAAAACACCTACTGATCATAAAAGACAAACTTTTAGATGTTTTTCATCCTGCAGAAAATAAAAACGGGACATATAAAGCTGTTGAAGACATGAAGACGAAATTTAGTTTGGTATTTTCCCAATGGCAATTTAATTTAGCAAGCAGGATCCCAAATGTGCAATTTCCCAAGCGGCAACTTCCCAAAGGTTAGGTTAGGCCCTCTGAGGCGCCGAAGGCTGCAATGAAGAGGACGAGCGTCGCGAATAGAATAGGCTGGGGACCGAGCGCTGCGGTTAGGACAGGCTGGGGACCAAGCGTTGCGACTAGAACAGTCTTGAGAAGAATTGCTGTTTGGGAAATTGCAGATTAGGAAAAATCCTTTGAGAAAGTAGTTAACATCATTATCATTTTTATGTATTTAATATTATATCTACTTTTACTTTTTTACACTAGCCAGCCTATATACATTATACAAGGTTACCGTAAAAGGATGAAACTTCAGAGACAACTGCAGGGAGATTCTTCAGTTTTAAATTCTTGATTTTCTAAAACTGTTTTTGTTTCTTAAGCTAATTCAAAAAGTTTTCATTTCAAAGACGATTTTCAAGTCAAAATACCAAAGCTGAACGTTAGGACCATAACATTTAAAGAATATTAGGTCACCAGTCTCATCCTTTATTGATAACCCTGTAAAATCATAACTTGACTCTAACAGTCGTATTCCTATTTCACAGTTATATAAGACTCAAGCTATATACATTGGAATTGAACTGTAGTTTTCCTAAACAACTTTTTTAAAAAATTGATTTTTTTCTTTTACTTTTTTAAGGAAGTGTTCACTTTTCATAAACGTGAAATCAGAAATAAATTTAACTTTAATCAGTCGATATGAACAGGGTTACCCACATTGGATGAGAGTGTAAAAGCGATACAAAACTCTAAATATATGACTATTTAAAGCTTGATTATTTGTTTCTGCATTCAATTAAGTATTTTGATGGTTTACTAAATTATTAAGCACAAAAACAAGCCAGTCTTACCTTAAAAGAAACCCTGAAAACAAGAAAACAGATCTAACCAATTCCGTACAATCGTCTCTGAAGTCTCATGGTTTGTGGGTAACCCTGTATAATATAGAAATCATAATGATAATAAAATATGTATAAAGTTATAAACCCCTTTTCATATTATTGTATATGAATAAAAATCAATAAAGCAATGCACTGAGTTTCTCAAATATTCTACGAGTCGGTTTTTCTTACGATATATTTATATACAAAAGATACAAAAAATACAAACTCTAAATCGAACGATACTTATACAAACTAAATATTATGAATCAAATCAGTTTCATCAAATAGGAGAATTCTTCAAGGGAACCTAACAAATAGGGAGCTGGTCTTCAACTAACTCTTTTCCCTGCATTTCGCTCCATCCTTGGTTTGCATTTAACCCTAGCTACCCCGGGGTTGGTCCGTCCCCTCCCCAACGCTTGGGTCTTCGAGATAACGGAAAATTCGGCGTCGCTTGGGTTATTTATAGAATCCACATGCAAACTCAAATAAATCCGTTAGGATTCAAAATAGGATTCAAAAGTCTAACCATAGGGTAAAAGATGGGGGGGGGGAGGAGGGGGCATGATGCCCCTAGGTAGCTATGATCTCAGTGATCCAAAAAATCCTTGAATCGCTGATCGTAAAAGATCAACAAAATCGTCCATTATTACAATATTTCGTAAAACATTTCTTTTTTAAATGTTTTTTTATCTATCTTAACATTTTAAAAGAAAGAATAATATTGCTGATGTTTGCAAAATATAACATAATTTTTGAAGAAAAAAAAGCTTGAAATCCAGAAGGTTTTTTTCTGTAGTCTGAACCTGATTTTGACAAAGAAACTAGAAGAATTTAGGTTAGAAATTTGTTCACAATGGCAACCCTTAAATATTTACTGCAATGATGCGAGTACAGTAAGCAATGTAGAGCCCGGATCGTCCCAAATTAACGGGTGTATTTAAGACGTACTTTGTATGTCACCGATACTCTAGAGTGTTTGGCCACTAGACGTCAGAACATAATTTAATTTTACTATGCTTTTAATTTTGTTTCGCCGACAGGGGCCTACAGGGGTCGCGTTTTACCGTCTCTAGGACGGACAATGTTGAAGACGTCATATGTTAGTAAACAGGATAGGATGGAACAATCTGGGCTCGGTACATTCTTCTTCAACAAATATTTAAACTTCAAGGACGAAAAACTTATTTATTTTTTTAATTTTAAATTTTTCAAATTTTTAAATGATTTTTTGCCATTATTTGCAAATTTGACATGATACAATCAAGTAAGTTAAAAAACTAAAAAAAACTGGTACTTAGCAAAATAGTTTTTTATATCTCAACTCTGTTTTCTTAATATTTCTTGGGTTTAGGAATCTACACCAAGATAAACGGAGATCTACTATCTTGGCAGACAAACTAACCACACTTCTCAAACATGTTGATGGAAAGTTTTTTCTTAAAAAATAATTTCTTGCCACAAACTCTAATTTCCTATAATCTCTGTATCTTTGTAACCTGATGGTGTGAACTTTTGATATTTCAAACTTAAAGGAACTGTTATTTCAAGTGAAAATCCATTTAAAGATGGCAATGTCAATTTACACTGGTACCCCTGAAAGCTTTGTCTGATTTACTACAGATAAACCCTAAATGAGCCATACATCGAAAGAATTTATCAAATGTCGTCTTAAATTTTTCAATGTGTTTTATACTATTTTACGTAAATCTCAGTATTTGCGAAAATAAATAAATAACCATGAATAAGCGGGAACAGTTTTAAAGAGTTTCATATAATCATTTAATTAAAAAACTAAATATCTGCAACATTCCATTATCAGAAAGTGAAGAATACGACATTTGATGAATTCTTTCGATGTTTGGCTTATTTAGGGTTTAACTGTATGAATTAGATATGCATTTCTTTTGTTTCTTTAAACTTTTATATTTTTTTTTGTTTTTGCGGCTTCTCTGCAAGTGATTTGCGCATCTTATAACAAACAACGGAGAAATTGACAGAAATAAACACTACCACCATGAATCGGGCTTCGCTTAAGAAAAATTCAAAAATTCAAGATTGGATATTAGCGCTCTGAAAATGAATTGTTAGAAAGACTTACGTAAATTAGCCAGTATAAATAATGTTGCATTTGATTACTTTATTGCAGAGCTGCTGGGATGTGTGATTGACAAGGTTGCGATGAAAAAGTGCTACAGGTTCGTACAGTTAAGGGAGAGACCGGCTAGACATGGTAGTTGAGCTAAGAGTGTGGTATTGTAGAGATATTTTTTTAGAATTCATTTGAGACTTATTGAGCCATGTTTGCGGTATAACATTGTTCTGCAGAGCGCAAATTCAATCTTTAAAATCCTCCTGGAAGGATTATTTTGAGAATCGTTTTTTAAAATTATTAATAAATGAAAATGGAAAATGTAACACAAAATCTTTGGTAAACTTATTAGTTGTTGAGTAACAAGTTGAAAAATTAAAATTAGCTCTTGTCATCGAAAGTAGTTAATCTTTTTAGGTTATCCGTTTCTGTAATATTTGAAGTTCATTAACGTCTTCCGTAGATTCCTTGGAATTTTTATTGAAAAGACGACATTTGAAGAAATCTGCAAACAAATTTACAAAAATAAGAAATTTAAGAAAATGATGATAAAGAAATAATTGATTCTACCATTGATTTGTTTAAAATTTACTTTAAGAAATATGTTCCTAAACAACTAATTTAGTAATTTGCATTTTGCTGAACAGTCATATACCATAAAAACGTCTCATTGATCTCAAATAAATCCTGTAAAATATTTCTACAACACTGCACTCTCCGCTCAACTACCATGTCTATCCGGTTTATCTATCTTAGACAGTTTTTTAAAATATTAAGATTATTTTTTACTTCAAAATATGTTAAGGGACAGTTTAAGTGAAGGACAAGATGCTTATTACTTTGCTTACATTACTACAGAATATACGGTCTATTCTACTTTAAAAAAGGTGAAAATAAAGCATTATTCATCTGTTTTTCTTTTGATGGATTAAACCAAAGAGAATAGAATATATATTAGAGTGGAATTTACTAGAAAAAAGTTTAAAACGGCCATTTTGTTGTACTGTTTCCATACTGCAGGTGTACTTTACATATTTATGCTATATAACCTTTTGGGCCCTGGAATAGAATTTTATACAGGGTGTCCCAAAAAAACATGGGAATACAGTGACGAATTCGATATCGTCTTTGTTATGAATTAGCATAGTTATACCTAATTTCAAAAGCCATAATATTATTATGTCTGCTAGAGTTTATTTTATGAAAAGGGTAAAAGAATGTAAAGATGTGTCTATAATGTCTCCGCAAGATGAACAGTGAAGACGGACAAGTTTACTCTGTTTGTACACTGAAATTTTCTTGTTTTACTAAGTACAACCGTATGCAGTCAAAACATAAACAAACAAAATGTGAACATAGCAGACGAAACTCTTAAAGATTACAGCTTTCTCAGTAGGTATCACTAAACTAAATCAAAGAATTAGTTAAAAAGACAATATCGAATTCGTCACTGAATTCCCATGTTTTTTGGGACACCCTGTAGAAAATCTAAAATTAATATTAAAAGAAAACCAAATTATGAAATAGGCTGGTTGCATAATTGACCAATGATCATTTCACATAGATTCTATGCATTTCACTTTACAAACGATGATTTTCCGTTATAACTATAAATCAAATGATTTTTTATTCACCTAATTCATTATGAAGTTTATTTAACAGCTTTAAAAAATTGAAATGGATAGTCTAGGGAACATATTGTTTTAATGTACTCTACTGCATATAATTTGTGAACATTTACATGATTTGTACACTTTGAACTTCCTCTCAGGCTGAAAAGGACTGAAAAAATTCATACCGAGAGATTCACTAGATTCCCCTCTAATATATATTCTATTCTCTTTGGATTAAAGTCTACTCAAAAAAAAGTGTGGCCTCAATTTGTGTTACAAGCCCTGCACTTGCATATCTTTTTTTATTTTAAAATTTTTAGATTCTTTAAACAATCATCACAAATATCCTAAGTCCCAACGTTTCCAAAATGTGGTCTGACTTTTTTGTGCTTTCAATGTTTTTGGACTCGGAGATGTTAAGAATTGTGTTCAAATATCTATTCCTCAAATAAACCCAACAACCGGACAAAATTTTGAAAGCACTAAAAGGCAGACAACATGACTATGGGCATTTTTTGGTCAAAAATGTTACTTTTAAAATTTGTATAATTAAATTGTTTCTATCGAAATCTAAAATTTTTAAAAATTAAAATTCGCAATTTTCAGCTCTGGTATAATTTTTACGGAAAAATTGTTTTTCAATGGTTCTTAAATGTTTCAATTGAACAGCATATATTTAATGCTTTAGAATATTCTAAGCAGAAAGGAGTTAGAGAATTTAAATAACTTTTCCTTAAAAATTAGACCAGAACTAAAAATTACGAATTTTCTTTTTACAATTTATCGAATTTTCTGTGATTTAGATTTCGATAGAAATAATTTGTATACACATTTTTGCTTTTGTGAACTTTTGATTCTGAGAGAAGAAAAAGGTTCGCAGATTTTCTTTTGGGCCATTGGAGTACCAAAAAAATTACAAATTTTCAAAAATATTAAAAAAAACACCATACGAAGAGTTGAAAAAGGTACAATTTTGCACCAGGCGCCGCAATTCACACTTTTATATTATAAAATTATGAAAATACTAGGCTTTCAGGTCGCATAGCGCCCACATTCATATAAATAATTTTAGTTTTAATCTTTTGAGAATTGTTGGCGGCATTTAATTTGAATATTCCAAGATGGCGGCATTTAATTTGAATATTCCAAGATGGCGGCATTTAATTTGAATATTCCAAGATGGCGGCATTTAATTTGAATATTTCAAGATGGAGATTGAAGCAGTGAAGAAGAATATGATTGCTGTGTCAACTCTACCCTATCTATTCGGAGAGTATAAACAGATACTCAAGGACTTATATGAAATATTTGTTAAAAAGTAAATATGTTTTTAAAAAAAATTAATGTGAAAGACATGTTTTTTTGCTTTATAAAGTTGACAGCTTTGATTTGAATCTGTAAAGTTCTGAAATGATCTTGGTTATATTTGATTAGTCTAAAATGAAAATCTTTTTTTTTTAGCAAAAAAAGGCCAATCTGAGTTGTATTCTACAAAAAATTAAATTTTTTAGGAAAGAAATTGTCTGCTCCGGATTCACCCTTCAGGTTACTCATTGAGCAAACTTTTTCCAATTTTGCATTAATAAGTTTTTGGCTTAAAATAAAGATTTTTGTGTAAACGCCCAATATTAGGAGCTCGAGACGTTAATACCTTGGAGCAGTGAACGGATGGAAGACAGAGACTTAAAAATGAATTTAGGAGTCTGGTTAATGTGGGAATTAGAAAGGTAAAAAAACTGAAAGGGACTGTCGACGAACTTCAAGTGACCCAAACAGAAATATACATGTCTGGTTTAGAAAGGCACCTTTTAAAAGGGACTGTTAGCGTAATTTCAAGTGGCACTCCATGCAAAGTTTGCAATGCTCAATTTCCAACGGTACCCTATATAATCAGGGGCGGATACAGGGGGGCGCCAGGACCTTCGCACCCCCCTGAGATTTCAGAATAGCTTCTCAATAGAGCTCTTAAGAGAAAGAAAACCTAGCGCAAAACAGGAAAAATATCTATCTATCATACTTTTGTTCCTAAATCTGGATTTGTTTTGTTCCAAAATAAATCTAGCACCCCCTCACTAAATCCTGTATCCGCCCGCCAATGTATAAGTTTTGTCTGATCAAGTAAGAACTAATTTATAGTTTTAACAACTGATTATTTTCAAGTTTGGGTTTGCTACAAAAATTAATTGCATTTCTACTTAAAAAAAATAAAGTAATTTTCAACAAAACAACAATATTTTCCACATTATTGATCAGATAAAGGTTTCACGGGTACCGAATTGTGAGTCGGGTATTGCCATCTTTGCATAAAGGGTCACTAGAAATTCGCTTACAGGCCCTTTAACTGTGCAACAATTTGGAACAAATAATCGTTTTTCAATCATGAAAAGATAGTCACTACAACACAGAAACCTATATTGAAAAACTATCAATTTTCAGATAAAAAAGCGAATATTTTCATGATTTTCTTGATCGATGTGATTATTTAATTGTAGTGTCTATTGAAATTACGTTGACAGTCCCTTTAAAAATATTCAGAATTTTATCTTAACAACTTGAATTGTTTAAGGGATCCCAATCTGAAGACCAGCTTTTCAAAAGTAAACAAACAAGGTATGTTATCAAGCCATGATTAAAAAATCTAAATATTTTTATCACTGTTTAGATTCTTTAGATGGGCTTTCGGGGGTTTTAAAAGGATTGTAAATTGCACGTATTGCATAAATAGAATAAACATTAATTATTTTCTAATTCAACATTTTTTTCAGTTGAGAAACTGTTTGAGGCAAGTGGGTCATCCTTTCCCGACAAAGGAGGTTTCTATCTATCTATCTATTTATCTATTCATTTATCTATCTATATATCTATCTATCTATCTATATATCTATCTATCTATCTATCTATCTATCTATCTATATATCTATTTATCTATCTGTCTATATATCTATCTATCTATCTATTCATTTATCTATCTATATATCTATCTATCTATCTATCTATCTATCTATCTATCTATATATCTATCTGTCTGTCAGTCTGTATATCTATCCATCTATCTATGTATATATTTATCTATCTATATATCTATCTATCTATCTATCTATGAATCTATCTATATATCTATCTATCTATCTATTTATCTATCTATCAAACTATCTATCTATCTATCTATCTATCTATCTATCTAGCTATCTATATATCTATCTATCTATCTATCTATCTATCTAGCTATCTATCTATCTATCTATCTATCTATCTATCTATCTATCTATCTATCTATCTATCTATCTATCTATCTATCTATCTATCTATGTATCTATGTATCTATCTATCTATCTATCTATCTATCTATCTATCTATCTATCTATCTATCTATCTATCTATCTATCTATCTATCTATCTATCTATCTATCTATATATCTATCTATCTATCTATCTACCTATCTATCTACCTTGAAAAGATATTACACTGCAATTATTTAACTTAACTCAGTATCGTCTTTTGATTCCTCAATATTTTAGGGATCACTGTACTCTTACTTCTATACTAATTGTTTAGAATGGGGTAAACTGGACTGGACCTGGTCCGAGTGTAAGGAGATATTACAGGTAACCACTTTTATCCAATCTATACATAAATTGGCTTGTCTGTCTGTTTGTCTGTTTGTTTGTATCCAATAAACGTCAAAACGGCTAAACCGATCGGGTCCAAATTTTTTAAGGGACATCACGTGACCACAGGGAAGGTGTATGAATGATAAAAAATTTTAAAAAATGTGTTTTAAAGGTTTTTAATTTTGTAAAAAAAATTAAATTCTTGAAAATCCGCGAATTTGTTTTTTTTTAAATCCGCAAAAAAATTTTCTTCTTTGTTATTAAATGTAAACAAAACGAACATGTTCACAATTTAAATAGAAGATGTGCTCAAATCGCCCTAAAAGCCTAGTGATCATAGATAAGTATAGAATGGATTTAAGCCGAAAAAAGTGTGAAATTCCCATTTGTTGTATGTACTGGTTTCATGATGTATTATTACTGCAGCTGTACTTCGCACATTTGCGCTCTAAAACCATTTGGGCCATGGAACATCTTTTTATATAAAAATTTTCTTAAAAATTATAAATTTTCTCTGAAACAAACTGTCATGCATTTTTTTATCTCAACCTATTTGAGTCTTAAATTAGTCTCGACGGCGGCTCTTAGTTTTGAGTCTGATTTTCCAGATTTTTTTAATCGTGGGCTCTGGACCATCCTGTCTGTATCGTGGGCTCCGGACCATCCTGTCTGTATCGTGGGCTCTGGACCATCCTGTCTGTATCGTGGGCTCTGGACCATCCTGTCTGTATCGACAAAATTTCGCTCTTTGATCACTAATTCGGAATCCGTCAAGAAAAGTGTAAAAGACTTATTATATCTACTTAAAATATAAAGTTTATATATTTAAAATAGTTTAATTAGTATATTTTGTTACTTTTAAATAAAATGTTTATGCTAAATTTATATTAAAAGAAATAAAGTAAAAAAATGCAAATAAGACAAATCTTTATGTAACAGGCGGAAATGAGTTCCAAAGTTAAGGCCCAGTTAAATAATTAGATAATTTTAAAATTCTTTGAATTAATCTGTTCTTAATTATTTTAGAAGTTGTTAATAGTAAAGTTTGAAGAAGCTGCAGGGTTTGAATGCTCACAAAACCTCATGGACAATCTGATACAGAGATATAGAACTGTAGATATTAATTTTAAGGTACAGGATAAAGTACAGGACAAAGTACAGTACAAAGTATAGTAAGGCTAAAATTGACAGAAAATCTTTAAAAGATTTTTTTTGTATTACAGAATTTTTAAAGAATTTGTTTGTGTAGAAGTTAGCAAGTGTACTGCATAATCTTGCAGAAATATACGAGACCAAAGCAGATTTTAAGCAAAAGGTAACACCGATTTTTTTGCAGTGCGAAAACTTACAATCTTTATTTTAAAATTAGCTTGTTAGTCATTTGACCATTATCTTTAATCCTTTTTTGCCCCAAAATATCACTTATAGAATAAATTTTGGTTATTTCACAAATTTTTAATTTAATTTAATTTAATTTTTAACGATTCAAATTTTCAGATGCGTGCCGCCACTTCAGAAGAGCAGAAGAAAACTTTAGGTAGATAAATTAAAAACACAGAAAATGTTTTTACTTTATTTCTATTTCTCACAATTGATTAAAATCACAACGAATATTTAATCAAGGAACGAAATACTTGCTTAGACCTGAGCTTTTCTACTCACAACTTTTTACCTAATTATTTAAACTATAAATTTTCCGACATCAAAATCAAATAGTCAAAGGTTGGAAAGATCAGAGCTGATTTATGTCCTAAGGTTGAAAAAGATAAAGGGATTCGAAAATCAGTTTTTCTTTCTTTCATATTTTAGACAATTTGGTTGTTTCCAAGTTTTGTCATTTAATTAGAATAAAAAATAAAACATCTTCTTTTATTCTGTAGAACTGTGTTTGTAAACTATGAATATTATTTAAAAAATTTAGAAAATTCTCGAAGAGACATTTTGGACCCGGAATACTTCAAGATAGAATTTATCAATGCTCCTTCACCATTTAGGTACTGTGGTCGGCGTTTATATCAATACAACAAAGACGACCTTTTTATATAAGTTTTCATTTCTAACAATTTTTTTGAAATTACAAGTTTTACAAGTAAACAAAGAGAAGCTATTAATTAGCAGGTTCTCTTTGTTTACATTTTTACGTGTATCCATGCCACTGTTAGGTCTGGTTTATTTCAAGAACCAGACCGACATCTAACCAGCTATAGCGAGCTGTACACTGTACAGTACGCATAAAGATTATACCAGGCAAAACGGGACAGTACACAAAATGAACCAGCTCCTTCTAGGGAAATTCTAGTGAAGCTTTGTAGAAATCGAAGGTCGTCTTCATTGTATTAGTATATACGTTGACGACTGCAGCAAACAAATTAAATAAACATTTAATGAAAAATAAATAAATAAAATTTTTTATTATTTTTAGGTTTTTCCATGGGCAGAAGTTTATATATCGGGAAAGAGCGATGCAAAGAACTGATGATTTGGCGCAAGTAAGTATCAAATGCACTTGTAGTATACCAGAAGGAGAAGGTCAAATATGTGATGCACTACTGGTACAACCTTGTGACCTCGTAGCTCTCCTAGTTTTGATTTCGGTAGATATTAAAATTTAAACATCTTTGCTCTTCTTGATTCCTCTTCAATATTATTAGGAGGTTTAATAAAAAACATTATTTTAATATAATATTATATCTTAGACGTGAATACAGACCAACTAGATCTTTGTGAATCAACAGTAACCCCGTTTAATGGGACTGTGTGTCGTATCCAAAACAATAATTTATGTATTAGAAATATTAAAAATATAAAAATTGGATTTTCTGGTTCTCTGATTTTTATTCCCATATCTTTGAAATTCAATATCGTCGATATTTGAAACTATGAATTTTGTTAGATCAAATAGTCAAAGCTTAAAAAATGAAAGGTTTACACCTTTAGGTTGTAAAGCTAAAGGGGTTAACAAATTTGGTTTTGCAAAGACTTAAAGGGACTGTTCACTTATCTGGGTAATTTCATGGTTGTCTTTGAACATTAAGACCAAAACTAATCAATAGCTAATAGGCTATTTAGTTTACCTCGAAATTACCCAACTAAGTGAACGGTCTCTTTAATTATCTGACTTGGAATGGGTCTGAATATCCGGTCTCCAGTGTACATTGTAAAATTTCTTGTTTAGAAGTTATCAGTATGGTTTCCAGACGCTGAGGTACTCCTCTCGAAGCAAGCGATGAGAAAGTCTGAGAATATTAATGTTACAAAGGTTGAATTTATTTCTGATACAAATAATATTGATTTTTATTCCAACTTCTTTAAAGACAGATTTAATGTTTTATTATCAATTGCTATAATTATTTGGAAATAGAAGACGACTTTTAGACTCACATTATGACTTTTTATAGTCTAATGAACATGAGACACTGCTATTGTGCTGTTTAAAACATCCACATTTCACTTGATAAATAATTTTATGATTAACTATCATAACTTTTTGCTTTGAAATAACATTAATTATTGACTTAATGTCGTCTTCCTATTTCACTGTTTTCTGGTTTTCTAGCTGTATGAATTTCAATGAAATATGTCAATATTTTAGTTTGTGATTTTTGTTCAAAAAGTAAACCCGATCATGACAAATATGGAAGGCTTTGAGAACTTAGAGATTCCATTTCAGGTTAGTCCATAGTTATACAGTGTTTCTGTTTCCGGTTAGTTCATAGTTATACAGTGTTTCTGTTTCCGGTTAGTTCATAGTTATACAGTGTTTCTGTTTCCGGTTAGTCCAAAGTTATACAGTGTTTCTGTTTCCGGTTATTATTATAGTTTCTATTAATATATGCTATGCGTTCTCTGTTTAAATTATGCATTTCTGTTTAGGTTATAGTACTTTATATTTTCCAGGTTGTACGTTTTAGTTAATATTAAACGTTTCCTTTCATTTATTTTATCTGTTTAAGTTATACGTTTTCTGTTTAGATTTTTCGTTTATGCTTAGGCTATATGTTTTCTGTTTACGTTATACGTTTTATGTATGGTTTTAATTTTCTGTTTAGGTTTTACTTTTTTGTTTAGGTTAAACGTTTTCTGTTAGGTTATACGTTTTCTGTTTAGGTTGTACGATTTCTGTTTAGGTTATACGTTTTCTGTTTAGGTTATACGTTTCATGTATAGGTTTAAATTTTCTGCTTAATGTTTACTTTTTTGTTTAGATCAAACGTTTTTTGTTAGATTATGCGTTTTTCGTTTAGGTTATACGTTTTCTGTTTAGGTTATACGTTACCACACAAAGAACGTAACGAACGCGTACGCATTTAAAGAACAATTTAAACGAAATGGCGAGGAGGGATTTGTGAGATTAGCACTCAGGTTAATTTTTAAAATAAATCCAATTTAAAAATCTAAATTAAAAATTAAAGATTAAAATTTAAAGAAAAAAAATTAATTTAATCTTATAAAATGAGTGAAATCTTCGTAATTTAGCATAAAAATGTTTGTAAAAAGAGTTATTTATGACCCAAAATGTACGTTAAAACTTGGACAATTCGAAAATGTTCCGTTACATTCTGTTGCAACCAAGGGACAGTGTATGGAACTTTATTTTACTCTCCATTCGATTCACTTCGGTACCCTTTGAACCCAATTGTTTGATCAAGATTGAAGAAGAAATCTTTTCAGCTAAAAATTGGTTATTATTAATTGTGATTTCTCTACAAAAGTGACTCTCGGATGAATGCATCGCAAATTGTCATGTTTTCACATAGAAAAACGATCTTATCTCTCTCCATGTTACTCAAATTGAGGCTTTCAGTGTAACGCTGTGAATAGGATATACCATATATTTTTTTAATGGAGGGTTATTTGAAATGACGTGTACAGTCCCTTTAACCAGTTTTGTTTTAGCCTGACTGAGTTCGAGCTGCCTGGTATATTGAGATGGTCTAAAGTCATCGAGGATTCTTTAATTCTTGAATTCAGGGAAAACACACGAAAAAAAATAATTCTAAAAAAGAAAATGTTTTTAGTTATAAAACATTTGAGCAACAAATTTTATATTTGAATCTTTAAAAAAGGCGGTTCAAGCTTTAATTATTTTTCGCATCTACTCTTTACTGTTTTCAATCGGAATTCCGTTGCGCGGAATAACGTTATACATGCTCGCAAGTAAAATCCACACCATATTTTAAATTTTCTCGACACCTCCCATAAGTATTTCAGAACTTTTCGGACAATAATAATGCACCATTCTCACAAAATTATCTTTATACAAATTTGACTTTTTGTCACAAACTCTAACTCCCCCCTCCTTATAGCTTAGCAACCCGATGTCGTTGACCTTAGATATTTCAAACTATGAATTCTGCTAAATCAAATAGTCTAAGTTTGAAACATCATCGGCTTACACTATCAGGTTGCACAGATATAAGCATTAGAAAATTCCTTTGATTTTTGTGCTTTTAACACTAGGCCTGTAGTTAGTTATCTACATAACATTCAGGATAAAAATTTAGGTAAAATCATAAATTTAAAATTGGTTAAACTTTGTTATTTTGTTCTTGGTTTGTAAAAATAATTACGAATCGGATTTACAACATTTATGAATTTAAATGGATTGCCCTGCACGGATGTTTACTTATGGTAACCTATCTCTTTAAATATAATATGTCATTCATATTCTAAATTTAGTTCTTCAAGAAAATCTTGAATCTTTGCTTGAAGACGCTTCATCTGTTAGGTAATACATAAATTTAGGCTTTAAATAATGGTCTAGTATGACACAGGGTGTTCCAATAAACATGAGTATTAAATATCGTTTTTGTTCCATACGGGATTATTTCATAAATATGAATTTACAGTATCACAATTAAAACATTTAAAAAACTACTAGTGTCGATATTTCCAAACTGTGGTCTACTATTGTTTTACCTTCAAATATCACAGATATAATAGGAAATATGCCCTGAGTCCGAATTTAATGAATTTGAACCGAGTCTAAAGTCCTCCCAAAATCGGTTTCAGTTGAGCAAACATATTTGAGTCGCGGCTCAAATTTTTTTTAATTCGGCCTCAGATTTCAATTTATTAAAAATCAACAAAACTGATCAAATGTTTAATATCTCCGTCAGTTATAAAGATACAAAATAGCAAGGTTATGATGCAACGAAAGTTTTTTTCAGAGGTGTACGCATCTTTTGTACTGCAGTGTACTGTCTCTGGGCGGTAATCCATCTTTCACATAAAAAAAATCAATGAAATATTCTGGCCATTGGAAACTATTATAAGAATTATCAAAATTATCAAAATTTAATGCTTTTAACCTACTCGGATACTAAAGGAACACATATCCATCTATAAATGTTTACAAATTCCGCCCAGAGAGAACTGGTTTCAATATGTACGCAGAGTATACGCAACTGCAATTAACTTTCCTTGCATTATAAACTTGCAAAATAGGTAAACCATATTTTGGAAAGCTCACAAGACTTTAAGTCTTTTTTAGATGCTTTATGTCAGTTATCAGATATTGGAAATAAAAGACGATATTCAAGTCGTCTCTGCAAGTATCAGAGGTTAAAACTTTTAAATCTGTTCAAACCGCGCTAAGCCTGCATTTGTGGTTTAATTTAAGTCGTTTGGCACAGCAACCTCGTAAAATAACTTTTTTTATATATTTCTAAGGAAATGTCGCTTTCATTGCTTTTTATTGAAAAGTAACTGAGTATTTTCCTTTAATTTCAAACTGAGACTTGACAGAATTCATAGTTTGATATATCAACATCAGGTTACAAAGATATAGGGTTAGAATATCAGAGTTTGTAGGGAAAAAAAACTCAGCTCCTTTAGTCTTTAATTTGATATTTTTTATTTTTATTTAGTATGCATACAATATCCAGTGATCTTCAGGGCAGTATAATACCCAGGTAATATTACTTATGGGCAACGTTTTGCCCGTTTTTAAATATTCAAAAATTTTAGTCTATTAAAAGGCTTCATAAGAATCTGAGATGTGAATTTTATTTTTAAATTGTATGCTAGACAAGTTTGCTTATATTACGTTATGCTAATTTCTTTTTCTGACCAAAGATAATATACAAAACGAACGATTTTATTAAAACGATTTTATTGAAACAATTTTATTAAATCGATTTTATTAAACCGATTTTATTAAAACGATTTTATTAAAACGATTTTATTAAAACGATCTTGCTAAAACGATTTTATTAAAACGATTTTATTAAAACGATTTTATTAAAACGATTTTATTAAAACGATTTTATTAAAACGATTTTATTAAAACGATTTTATTAAAACGATTTTATTAAAACGATTTTATTAAAACGATCTTGCTAAAACGATTTTATTAAAACGATTTTATTAAAACGATTTTATTAAAACGATTTTATTAAAACGATTTTATTAAAACGATTTTATTAAAACAATTTTATTAAATCGATTTAATTAAACCAATTTTATTAAAACGATTTTATTAAAACAATTTTATTAAAATGATTTTGATAAAACGATTTTATTAAAACGATTTTATTAAAAAGATTTTATTAAAACGATTTTATTCGAATAATTTCATTGAAACGATTTAATTAAACGATTTTACTAAAACGATTTTATTAAAACGATTTTATTAAAATGATCAGATAGTTGATATTCGTATTGGAAAATCGTTTTGATTAATATCTATGATCAGAAAAAACATTCGCATAATGCAATCAAAGCGAACTTATTGAGAATGCAATTTAGCAATTTAATGAAACCTTTTTAACATGAAAAAAACCTAATTATGTTTTAAAACGATGCGTAATAAGATGGATAATATAAAGTTTCTTTATTTTTATTTTTAACTTTTTTAATTTAAATGGATTTTTATCGTTGACTATACGCATAACATATCATTTTTCCACAGAAAAATTCAGTTTTTAAATTTTTTTCCACTTTTCGGAGAATTTCTAACTTTTGGAAATATTTTTGTTTGCGTTTTAATTTATTTTATGTTTTAGCGTAAATGGTGGTATTGAAAACCTACAGGTAAGAATATATAAAATATACTTCAGTTTATATACTGTTAAAGGGATTGTGAGGGAAATTTAAAAAAGGTAAAAAAAACGTTCTTTTATTATGTCTTCAAAATATTCATGCGGCTTCTTAAATATCTTTAAAAAATTCAGCTTGTGAGTTTTTCATATCTTCGCCCTAAAAATGGGACTTCAATCCAGCTCCAATTTTTCTGAAATTGATATGTCTTTATTGCACTTGAGTTTTATTAGACCAATAACTGATTTGCTGTACATTTTTTAAGTTTTCTGAAAGGGAGTGACCGGCAATGTATGGCCTGGTTGAACTGAGATTGACGTATTATGGAGAAATTTTCTAGGCTACATTTGACACCTATCAGATCTTCAAATTCCTCATAGATATTGTCCATTTTAGAGGGATGATTTTGAGAATCGGTTTAAATTAGATTATCCAAGGACGACCACGACAAATATCACAAAAATTCTACGGTTTAAACTAATTAGTTGTTTAGGAACAGGTTGAGAAAATAAAAATCAACTCTTATCATAAAATAAGTAATCTTTTTGGTTTCTGTAATGTCTCAATGTTAAAAACCATTTTCTGTAAAATAAGAAAATCAATTTAATCAATTTCTTATGAGAAATATGTTCCTAATATCTAATAAGATTTACTGTAGAAATTTTTTTAAATTTTGCTTTGTCGTTTTTGAATATCTATGTAAAAAACAAGACATTCGTATAAATATATATATATATATATATATATGTTGCGTATAGCTGGCCAAACAGCTGGATCGATTGGGCTGAAATTTTTTGTGGACACTCATGGGTGGCTGTGGGGTGTTAGTTATATGCTAAAAAAATAAATTATAGAGGACGTGAGTCAGACTCTAATAAAACGCATAAATAACTTCCAGTATATATATTTCTTATAACTTATTACTAGAGGGTTCAGAACTAGAGTCAATATCGATATCGCACGTGTAGACTGTAGAGATGATATCAGTACTAATGCCCCGTATCCGTTCTATCTCATTCTGTTGAATCTTGTGGAACTAGTTTAACGCGGCCAGGCATCGTCTTCCACAAAATAATATTTTTTCTCAAATTTTTTTTAAATAAAAAAAATTTTCCACGGGCAATGCCGGGCTCTTCAGCTAGTTTTGAAGTAAAACCGATTCTCAAAATTATCCCTCCAAAATGGAAAATCGATGAGGATCTTAGATATTGAATTCGGGCTCTTGCTAAACAAATATGCACCATGAAAACGTCTCAAATAAATCCTAAAAAATTTCTCAATAATACTGCAATCTCAGTTCAACTACCAATCATTGCCGGTCATTCCCTTTAATCAAGGACTGGATTTTCTAGTTTCCAACGTGTTAGAAAATACAAACTCGAAAGGGGCTGTAGGCGTAATGTGAGTTTACCCTCCATGCAAAGATGTCAATGCCCTATTTACAACGGTATACCCTTGAATACTGGATCAAATCTAAAATGTGGAAGATAACGTTGTTTTCTGACTCGAAAAGTGTTTATTTTTGTGAGTTTCTCCGTTGTTTCTTATAAGCAAGAAACGCACAAGTCCCTTTCGCAGAGAACCCTCAAATGAAAATTAACAGGTTAAACAAACAAAAACATGGATATCTAATTTATACTGATTTAGAAAAAACTTTCAACGGTACCGTTGTAAATCAGACATTGCCGTCTTTGAATGGAGGGTCACTCAAAACTAATGCATACAATCTCTTTGAGAGGGGTATGGCAAGACAGGAGAAGCCCTCCCTCCATATTGGGGCTAACCCTAACCTAAATTCCTTCGTTTAATTTAGAAACAGTTCATCAATGCAGAATACATAGAAGCACATCCGTATGATTCTGACTATGTTGATCTTCTCATCAATGAAATAAAAAAACAGAATATGTAATTATAAGAATACTTGCTTTTTTTTACTTGCTTGGAAACCCATAATTGCCTGGAGATTTTTTCATAAAGCCTAATTCGCGAAATTTTTGTTTGCTTTTGTTTTACAATTTTCCACAAAGAGAACATGTCCGCTATGGAAATATAAGATAGGCGCGAAACGCTCTAATAATCAAATCTATATATAAATTTGGCTTGTCTGTCTGTTTGTTTGTTTGTTTGTCTGTTTGTATCCAATAAACGTCAAAACGGCTGAACCGATCGGGCCCAAATTTTTTGTGGGACATCTAGGGACCCCAGGGAAGGTTTATGAATGATCAAAATTTCAAATATTTGTCTCCATCAAAATTCGATCTTCACTAAATTTTTGAAAATTTTGAAAATCCACGAGTCCCTTAATCATAGATCTGTGCAGTCCTAAGTCTGATCGAAGTCCCTATGTCCTTGTTTGCCAATAAGGGGCTTACTCCTCTTATAGTCTGCAAAAGTCCTTATAGTCTGAAATAATCCCTATTATATTTGTTGTTCGTATTCTAAGGTTGTCAGGCTTTGTGTAACCTTAAATGGTATATTTTTTATAATACTCATGAGAAGTAACATATATGTTTTTAGAGAGGATAAATTAAGAATGACTGACTTTCTTAAAGCGAAAATAGTTTGACATCCAATTAGAAATGATGCGCGAAGCGCCTAAGAAAAATTTTGGTATTTTTTTCTTCATTGACAAAATTTGATAAAAGATGGTCAAGTGAAGAGGGGGGGGGGGGCGAAACTCGGTTCGCCCCCCTCCTAGTTGCGCCACTGGGTACACGGGGTTAAAAGAGGAAGATTGGGACACCACGAGAATGTTCTTTGCTTGGTTTAAAAGTGAGATGAGAAGGTTTTGACTTTTAGAGGGAAAACTTAGTTGTCAGGCAAAGCTGGGTTTCTGGGCTAGTTTTGCTTATAAATATATATCACTAAAAAAGTTTAGGGTAAGTCTTTAGAAATTTAAAATAAAAAAATACTTTGTGATATTTGGTGATAAAGATTAAAGGAACAAATGCGACTTTCATAATTTCACAGTTTTCTGAATACCACTGTACTCTTCAAATATTGAAATTTTATTTAACATTTTGAATGAAAATTCTTATCAATCGAATAAAATACTTCTTGTAAATATTAATCTTCTTTTGTAAACTTTGTGAAACTGTAACAAGTGTCAATATGAATAATAAACACACTTTTTCTACTGGATTCATGATTTTCCAGTTTTTTTATCTAATAAATAAAAACAATGTATAAAAAAATCGCGAATGATTGTAAGTTTGAATTTCCTCAATTTTCACTTTTTCAAATTCGCGGATTTTTGCAAATTTTTACCAAAGACGACATTCAAAACTTATTTTCTTTGTATTTTCTAGTTACCTTGAGGGGTTGCTGGCTATCCATGGTAGAAAGATCAACGAAGACAAAGAAAATAAAAAGCTCGAGGACCTTAAACCTTTGCAAGTAAGAAAAGAAAAGATCATTAAATAAAAAATATGAAACTATATTTGATTAATCTCTAAATCTTTCTTAGATCTAAATTTCTATTTAGTAAATTAATTAATAGATTTACAAAATTACAAAGTTAAAAAAGATTATGCAGAGTTTTATAAGGTTCACAACTTCTCAACTTTTTTTTCTCTATAAAGTATTTTCTGTGAAATATTGTTTTTAAAAGTATTTTGTTTAGAATGTGATGGAGGAAGAGTTTAGTTTACGAAAACGTAAAGTTGGTGAACTTTACGGAGACAAACTTGTGGATAAATCTTTTCAGGTCATTCAAACATTAGATACAGTGATCACCAGAAAACTGTGGAATAGGAAGACGAACTTAAAGCAAAAATTAAGTGTATTCGATGTTACAACGCAAATAGTTTCACTAGGAACTTATTACATTACATATTTAGTGAAATGGGTCTGTTTACACTGCACTATTGCTGTGTCTGATGTTCATTAAACTATCTAAATTCATACTTTGAGTCTAAAAGTCGTCTTTCTATTCCAAAATTTTCTGGTTCTCACTGCATAATATGAAATGTTACAAATATACAATTAAGGATTAGATATATAGAATAGCTCTAATATAAATGTAAACAGTTTTTTCTTTAAATTTTATTGTAATGTCCTTTAATGTCCTGGATATTTAATAGTTTCTGATTGGATATAAAAGTTTTTAATGGAAATCCAGCTTAACCTGCCATTTTAACAAAACTTTCGCCTTTTTTAGTTTTCATTTTATTTTTCATAGATTTGTTTTTTTTACAACTTGACATCGAAATTTTGATTCACAAAGAAGTTCAAAGGCATTGAAAGTTTAAGATTTTTTCTCTTTTTAGATCCCCATAATGGATAAAGAGATATTAGCGGCAGCAGAGAATAGAAACATGGGTGTAATCAGATCTAATATGTGAAAATCAGATCTAATAAGTGAAAACCAGGTCTAATATGTGAAAATCAGATCTAATATGTGAAAATCAGATCTAATATGTGAAAATCAGATCTAATATGTGAAAATCAGATCTAATATGTGAAAACCAGATCTAATAAGTGAAATCAGATCTTATATGTGAAAATCAGATCTATTATGTGAATATCAGATCTAATATGTGAAAATCAGATCTAATATGTGAAAATCAGATCTAATATGTTAAACTTCGCAATAAAAAGCTTTAATAAAATGATCCATATTAATATAATTTTTAAAATTTTGTTCTTTCAAAAAATAATAAATAAATTAGTCTATTTAAAAGATGTTATCAATTCTATCAATACATGAAAACATGCATGTCATATTATATCCTTCAAAGACTTTGCTAATTAGCAAAGTCTTTGATATCCTTTAGTTGCTATCTTATATTCATATAAAACACGAAATATTTTTTATTCGTTGGNTTGAATTCTGAAGAGTGGATAATTATTTTATAGGAAAAGAGATGGGAAAGAGGGGGGGGGTATTCAAATTACATTTTTGTCAAAAAGAAATTAAGTTTTTTTCAACAAACTTTGTTTTTATCTTTACAATCAGATTTCGAAGATCTTTGATATTTCTAACTATAAATTCTATTATAGATCAAGGTAGTGTAAGTTTGAAATATCAAAGGTTTACATAATCAGCTGTTGTTAAGAGATTAGAGATTTATAGAAATAATTGTGTTTGTGGCAAAAACTCAATTCTATTGCGTATTGGTCCTGAGCCCAAGAAGTTGGTATATATATGCTTGTAAATATTTATAATTTCTGGCACCATATCACTATTTATTAATTCATAAATTTCTTCCAAGTTAACAAATATCATTGCTGCATTGAACTCAAGCTATCATAAACACGCACAAACGTTACAGGGTTACTTTTCAAAATATATGTTTAATAGTTTAAAAAAAATCTTTTTTAATGTTAGACTTTTTCATTGAGATTCTGAACAATTTGTAAATTTGAAAGAAAAAACGGTTAAAAAGGGTAAAATTCCATTATACTAATTTTAATCTCACCCTGTTCTATTCCCAAAAATATCTCTAGGTACCTGGTACACATTGTCTGTTATAAATACAGTAATCCCCATATTTGTTAACCTGGACATTAGATATATTATTACGTTGTACATTATCTGTAAATCTAAATGTGCTTATCATTGACATGCATTGTGATTAGATTAACTACGTTATATCTATCCTCGCTAATCTTATAAATATGTACATTAAGCTTAAACTACTGTGTCTGTATATATATATCTCGACATAAAACTTGTAATTACATTGATTAACGTTAACTTGTAACATAAGATATATAAAATAAATTTGTTGGTTGAGACTCTGCTTCGATTATGGTATTAGAAGTAATTTGGTCCTCGTTGAAACATACGAGCTGAGATTGTGCCAAGAGATTTGGCATCAATTGATTAAAAGCTTGCTTGTGTCCCTGTGTGATATTCAGAGCCAATAGTCCTTGTTAAAACATACAAGCTGAGATTGTGCCTAGCGTTTTGGCATCGATGGAATAAGAGCTTGTTTAATAGAGCTACGCTTGTGTCCCTTTGTAACATTCAGAGCTATTAGTCCTCTTTGAAACATATGAGCTGAGATTGTGCCTATAGAGATTTGGCATTGATCGATTAAGAGCTTGTTTTTAGCTACGCTTGTGTCCGTATTAACATTCAGAGCCGATAAGATCGTGCTCAATGTTTGGCATTGATCCCGGTTGACGTTTATAGCTGACGAGTTGTCCCTGGTTTGATACAGTTCTGAACGAAGTTTTAACAGTACGGCATTTACTACATATCCACATTCCTTTCTTTTTTATTCAGTCATGCACCTTCGGAAAGGTCAGACATGTTTTATTAATATTTTATTAAGTTAATTATTTACAATTAATGTCTGCTTGTACTTAGCGAAAGACTTGTAACCATAGTTTATAAACTTGTAGAATTAATTTTTATCATGTGCATTTTAATTTCACTATATTTGGTTGGTTGTATAAACGCTCTTAATTTAGTCATAGAAATTTCCGTTTTTACAATATCTATAGTGAGGTGACAAGGTATAAGCTAAAATATGAATAACACTAAATATGGATCAAATCAAATTATGCAGTAATAACTATAACTGATATAAAACTTACGTTACAATAAATATGTAAATCTATACAGCAGCAGCAGAGCTTAGATACAGGGTGTCCCACGAAACATGACAGTTGGTGAATACAGGGTGTCCCACGAAACATGACAGTTGGTGAATAGTTCTGAATGTCCTCTTCCATATACTGTATTAGACATTAAAGACTTTTTGCAGTTTATTTCTTTTAAAAAATATTTAACTCATTTATATTTTACTGCGAAATCAATTTTACTATATTATAACTGTCATATAATAAATGTTATTACTCTCTTTAGTATCAAACAACTTATCAAATTATGGAAGAAGACATTTTAAACTATTCAAAAACTGTCATGTTCCGTTTGACACCCTGTACCTAAAAGCTGTTTTCACAAAGCCCCCCTGTAATCCTTAATATTTTTTTATAGAAGGTTAGAAATGATTATTTATGGGGGTAAAACTGAAGTGGTTGTCAGACTATCAATTTACGTTATTTTCATTTATGGAAATAACGGAAATTTAAAAAAGATTTTTTTTTTATTTCTTTAAGAATTCATTATACAATACCAACATGTTAATATTTGTGTATTTTCATACTTTCAAATCAAATCAAATCAAATCAAATCAAATCAAATCAAACCAAACCAAACCAAACCAAATCAAATCAAATCAAATCAAATCAAATCAAATCAAACCAAACCAAACCAAATCAAATCAAATCAAATCAAATCAAATCAAATCAAATCAAATCAAATCAAATCAAATCAAATCAAATCAAATCAAATCAAATCAAATCAAATCAAATCAAATCAATATTCACGCAGAAACATTACATAAGATAAATCAACATTTATTTATTAATGTTCTGCGTCTGATATGATCAGAAAAGTGAAAATATGAACACTCTGAACAGCAAAAAGGCACCATCATATATGAATATACATTTAATCACAATGAAAAGTCATGTCTTTTTTTCTGTAATACATAGAGAATTGAATAGACTGTAATCCCTTCTCAATCAATTTTTCAATTATTAATAAAGTTCTTAATTCTCCTTCCCCGCTTTTAATTGATCTAACAAAAGTTTCTGCTTAAAGGAATACAAGAGTTTAACTTATTAACTATTGATAATCAATAATATATATATATAAATATATATATATGATTTTCAATATTTTATCATTATTATTTTGTCACACACTAGCTAACGATATATAATTGGAACGAATATGCTATCAGGGAGCTTAGTAACTTTTAGGTTTTAAATGTTACTTATGTATAGCCGCAATCGTTTTTCTCTACATTACTTTATAAGAATATCCAAATTTAAGGTTTCAGAGATTTTTACTTTATTTTTTGTCTTCATAATGAATTCATTTTAAGGTTTACATTCTTCCAATCTTTTTAAAAATTCATAATTTAAAGAGCGAAGGTCCACAAATATTTAACAGATTTTTTTATTCTGATGTTTAAAATAAGTTTTCCTATTACCTTACTTCAGTGTTGTGGGTTAATAATAATGATAATAATAATAATAATAATAATAATAATAATAATAATAATAATAATAATAATAATAATGATGATGATGATGATGTAAATAATGGAAATCATAATAATTATGTACAAGAACCTCTCTATATTCAGTGAAATCAAGCATTTTCCAAATTGATAATTCAATGACAAATGGAATAAGCGTGAAAGTTTATTTTCAAACTTCGTTTCTTAGGCCAAAATTTTATTTTACGGGCGCTGGCATTGTTTTAGTCAAGATTTACAATTTTTACTATTTATGCAAAATTGTGACTTTTACGAATCTCATCTATGGGACTTAACTTAAGCTGCAGTTGTAAATATTTTAAAACTATATAATTCTTGGAATTTTTGCATTAGAATATTATTTGACGTTCCATGACGTGACCTATGTGGCAAAGATTGAATTGCACTAAATAGCTTTTTGTCCGTATCTGCTTAGAAAAGGATTAAATGTTTTTAATTTTTTTACAAGTAAAGGCAATTTTACGAAAAAATAGTTAGACACAATTTTATCGAGAAGAAAATGCAGGAATTTTTTTTCCAAGGACTGTAAATGACTTAACGTTCTTCATATGTCAGTAATATTATTCAAAAGGCGGTAAAATCCCTTCTTCTTTGCAACCTGATGGTGTTAACCTTTCAAACTTTGCATTTTATTTTTATTTAGATATAGCAGAGTTTATAATTTGAAATATGAAAAGACAAGTACAACAGGTTGTAAGTGTTAAGTTCCTTTATGATATCAATCTATAAAATAAAGCAAGACATTCATATATATATGTTGACTTTAGCCGGCAAAACGGCTGGACCAAATGGGCTGAAATTTATTGTGGACACTCTTAGGTGGCCGTGGGGTGTTATGGGATAAAAAATTAGATTTTTTCCAAAAATTCTATTTATTTTGTTTTTTCAAATATTTAAAAAAATATTTTTCTTATTTTTTTCCACGGGCAACGCCGGGCCCTTCAGCTAGTAGTTAATAAAACACTGTGAACTAGATAGAAGGAGAGGAAAAGGTCATTTATGTGTGGCTTTACTTGTACGACTTAGTGACCTCGTAGCTCCTACGTAAATTCTAATATTTTTACGTTTATTTATTTATTCAACTATTCATATTTGTACGTAAACATGAACATTGCCGCACCTATTATAGTTTTAGCTTTATTGTGTTTGTATTTATTTTCTAAATATAATGTAATAACTACCAGCTCAAGTGCCCGGCGTTGCCCGTGAAATTTTAGAAACACTTGAAAATAATCTTAATTTTAAAGAAGAAAAAAAATTTATGTTTGAAAAAAAATTTACACAAATAAACTAAATTATATATATGAGCAAAGAGCAGCTTTATTAAAGAAAATAATAATTATAATTAGTGAACAAAATAATATATTTTATTTCATTTTTGAAATTTCTAAATTCCTTGAATTCTGAAAGATGAGTCTCATTCCCCCCCCTCCCCCACACCCACACAAAAAGAGGGGGGGGGGCTTGGATACAAGAAAATCTTTCCTTTAAATGGCGTCTTAAAAGTTAAAGTTAAT